GGATTGTTGGCTCTTCACTTGGATGATAGTTTTATATTCCACCAGAGGAAGAGAAAATATTCATGGAAGTTGAATATTTTCAATTTTGAGAAATTGAAATACAAGAGAAATTAAATACAAGAACAAAATCTAAACCAGATCCAAACATTTTGCATTTTCTCAGAAGAAAGTAAAATAAGAATTTTTGGGCTCTGCCCTGCAGATTTAACCCTGCAGAGTTGGGAACTGCAAAGCAATGCAAGTGGTGGTGAGTGGAAAAGGCAGAGCCAGTACTGGGAGTAAGGAGTGAACCCCAGCAGAAAGGAAGGTGTCTGTGCAACTCTGTTTATTTTAACTCAATCTACTTTACATCATCTCAGGCTCTTAGTGTGTCTGAGTAGTTTTAACTCTTCCTGTGATCAGTACAGGCTAATGGCCTAAAATGTAGGTTTAGACATTAAGAATGGAGAAAAACGACAGGTGAGACAAGCACAGGTTACCTCAGGGAGTTAACTGAGCCCGGGCTGGGTTGTGGGGAGCTCTGTGGTGACCCTGAACACCCGTCACAAAGAAAAATCCTTCCAGGTTCTCTCTACAAAAATTCTGCACAGCTGTGAGTGTAAAATAAAGTCATTTGTGCAATGATGATGAGTTTGGTTTAATTTGGTTAATAACTGAGGCAAGTTAATCCTGTTCAGGCAAGGATCAAACCAGTTTCAGTGCATCTGTGTTAGTGCTTTGCATCTGTCTAGATTGATTTAAAATAGCTTGGCTAGAAAAGAAAGTTGCTTCCAGTGTACAGCTCCAGAATTAGGGTTCACATCTGCCCCTGCTCCTGCCTCCATTCCCTTCCACGGGGTGAAGCTTTAGGTCAAGCTCCCCTCTGGCTCTCTTGTTTTGAAGATGAGGGTGGAGATATCCATGGGAAGAACTCATTCAGGAATCTCCAGGTCCCTTCTGGAAGATGTGAAAAATGTAAAAAGTGTTTCTGGTCAGGATGATTTACTGGGTGTGACTGCCTGGCATTTACAGGGATGGCTCTGCAGCTCCTTGTCCTTTTGCTGGCAGCCAGGCTCGGGGTCTCTTTGCCAGGATTTGTGCCAGGCTGTGGGCTGGGTGCTCAGGCAGGAGCAGCAGGAGCCCCTGGGAGCTCAGCAGGGCACGGCTCAGGTGGAGCCAAGCAGGGGCTGCAGCTCCCTGAATTGTCAGCAGCAAAGCTGGCATACTGCTCATTGTCTTATTTTAATTACTGCATTTTTCAGCCAGGTGAGACTCATACTCTGCTCTTCTGAGGGCTGATTTAGATCTGCAAAGCTTGTTGGCACCGTGGCTGGCTTGGTCCTGCAGGTAGCAGAGTGCACAGAGAGCAGTCCTGGCCGCGTGCTGAAAGCCAAGCCACGACTCATCTCCAGTGGAATGGGCAGTGTTTCCATCTTGGGGAAGCCACCTCCACCCTGGGTAAACCCAGCTGGCTCTTGGCACACCCTGGCACCTCTCACAGACTCCCTGATACGCCTGCATGTGTCTGCAGTGGGGAAACTGAGGCACACAAAGGTGAAGCAAACACACCAACCCTGTGTGAGAAAAGCCTGTTTTTTTTAAGTTTCTACCTACTCCAGGTATCACTGTGATATTCTGTCAGCTCTTGCTATACAGAGATTTATATGAAATCGTTTCTATTCCATTGAAGCAGTTTTCAGAGATTAATTTCTGAGGGTATTAACATTGATTCCTGAGCATGCGTGCTTCCTCCTCCTGCCAGTGGTCCATATCCAGGGAAAGCTGCATTGTCTGAGCTGGAGGAAAGCTCACTTGCCCTAATTTATTGAAAAAATTAATTTTAGATTTAAAATGGGGTTTTCATTTATGAACCCCGCTCAATCTGTTCTTCACTCCTGAGTTTTCACCCTGACCTCTCCCTTATCTGAAATCCTCTGGGCTGTACCCTGTGTTCATTAGTGAAACTTGCAGGAGGGAGCAGCAGGTGTGGGCTGTGGATAAGGACTGCACGCACGCTTGGCTCTGTGCTTATCCAGGTACCCCTGGCAGCTCCTGGCTGTAATTTAATTTAGGGCCGTGCCAGGATTTGGACTTTTTTAAGAGTTTTTCACAGTTTGTAAGTTTTAATAACAATTTTTACATCAGCTCTGGAAGTAGCAGCCCTTGGCATTGCATGGAGAATGCAGTAATGATACTTGCACTTAAAAAAATGAGCTGGAGAAGTGATGCAGTGCACCCCAGTACTGCCAAGTTTGTCCCTGCTCGTGGAGTCTGGAATGGTGAGAGTCAGGATGGTCCAGCGAGGTCCCTGGGGCTGGCCTGGCTTTGGTGCAGAGCTGTGCCTCACACTGCTCTGGGGGAAACAAAGGGGTCATTCCCAGAAAAGGCCTTAGAAAAAGAACCTCTCATCCCATCTGAAAAGAAGGCTCCCATGAGAATGATGTGCTTTATATCCATCCCTAGAAGACACTAAAAGCTATCTGGCTAAAAGGCAGATAGCAATTGGAAGAAATTAGCTTTATATCCTAGTGCCAGCTATGGATAAAAACCACAAACTTTAAAATGCTTTGAGCTTTTCTTTTTTTTTTTTTTTTAAGGGAAGTTCAGCACTAGCAAAATAATATTTTCCCAATTTTATTCTGATTATATATTTTGCATTCTTTGGATATTGCTTTTTAAGAACATCATTTTGTTGAACATCATTCAGCCTCCAAAGTCAGCTCTTCCCTATTAAACTGAAGCCATTATATAGGCCAGTATTGTTAGACAGAAGGACAAATCACAGGAAAATGTAGTTTAGATGCTAAAACATCTATTTGTGTTTGTCAGGCTCAAAGTCATTCACCACTGGTACCCCTCTGTAGTTTATATTTGAAATTCAAAACTTGACTCCTGCAAATGCCTTGGCTCAAATTGTGGTTGAATGTTAAGTGGTGTTTCTGAAGCGAGACTAATCACACGGAATGATACTGGATGTTTGCAGGAATGGGACCTCACAAAAAGGTTTAGAAAAATCTGCTGCTAATAACAATGTTCTGTTTTAAATAAAACCTGCAGAAAAGATGAGTGGCATCTCAGTAAAGACAGGTTTCCTGTGGATTGGGATTACATTCCTAGAGGAAAGTCTAATGCTTATCCAGGAGAGCAGGAAAGTGAAGCTAATTATAAGCAGAAAGAGAAATTGGGCAGTGAGATGCACTGACTGGGTGCTGTGAAAGGGGGAGGGAGGGAGGCAGAGTGAAATATTCTTACTATTAAACAGTGCCCCATTTCTCAGGGGTGCTTGAGTCAACTCTGCCCCATCACTGGAGCTCAGCTTTGGGGGTCAATGCAGAGGTGGAAAAGCAGCAATCAGTAACAACCAGTGAGCTGTGCAAACCCACGTGTCATAATGTTAATTGTGCTGGAATATGGGATTGTTCAAACTTTATAAAACAAGTGCATTTATGACATCAACAGCTATTTAACTGTAAATTTGGAGTAGATGTGGAGAATCACAAATCCTTCCACTGCCAACTCCTTGAGGTTATTAGGAAATTGTTTGTTTCCCAGTGATAGACAGCGTGGTCATAAAGCACAAAGCACTGGCTTCACAGTCAATAAAAAGTGAGAGATATCTGGGTTTAATAGCTCTGAAAGGCAAACATGGCTGGAGTGTGGAAAGGCTGATGCCTGGAGGGCTGGAGACAAAGCTGTGACCATCCTCCTCTGCCCAGCCAAGGAAACAGGGTCAGCCAGGCCTGAGAAAACGTGACCCAAGAAAAGGGAACTATAAATAATACAAATAATAACTAGGAATGGAAAACTTCCTCTAATAACCCATGGGAAAATATTCTTTACCTGCTCTGACTGGGCACAGTGACTTTCCCTTCACAAATGCCATTTGTTGAGCAGTGAGCAGGGTGGGTGCTGCTGGGATCCTGTCGGGAACAGGAGGTGTAAATGTGGAGAAGGGGTGGGGTGAAGGTACACACAGTGCCTGGGGACAATGCCAGCACTGCAGGGGCAGTCACAGCTCTGGCTGTGCCATGCACCTCTGTATCACCTGCTGCACAGAGGGAACAGCTGTCTGCAGGGAAACACCTTGTGCACACAAGGAGTGAGCTGCAAGCTCCTGCAAGGAAGCTGGATAAACCCTGGCTTGGACAAAATGAGCTGAGACTTCGATGTACAAATTCTTTGTGGTAGCAGTAAATGCTCCCTGCAGCAATATTTGAACACTGAGTCAGTGGAATGTGGCTTCTTCAGTGCCTGGCACTCCCTGAGGACAGAGCAGTCCCCAAGGCCCTGGTCTGCAGAGTTTTAGTTTCTTTCTGTATCTCCTGAGCCACACAGTGTTCAGTCCAGAGACCACAGAGAGGGAGAGGGCAAGGAAAGACCAGTGCATTCTAGATCTGTATCCTAACAAGTCTGTGTGTTTAAGACACCAGCCCAACCCCAGAGTGATCAATGGGACAGGGGCACAGTGACACTCCCCATGTCACTTTGGGAAAACACAGTTGTTATTTGCTGAGGTGAGTGTGGAGACTCGATGTGCAGCACGTCAGTCCCACAGGCTACAAGGTCAAACGTTACCTCATTCCCTGATGCCTGGCTCACTTCCCAGTCCTGCACAGACCAGCCATCTGGAATTTCAGGTTTGGGACAGGGGGAATTCAGCTGGGCAGTTCCCAGCAGACAAAGCTCTTTCTCTGGGTCCTGCTGGTCTTTGCTGTCACATGGAAGCTGTAGCAGAGCTGTGCAGGGTTCCTATGTCAGCTGGAGCTGCCACAGTTCCCAGCAGAGCCAGTGCAGGTTGGTGGGTTCAGTACTTGCTTCCAGTGTCCCAATAAAGTGTCTGAATGTGCAGCAGAGACTGCTTCAGTGCTGGGCTGCAGAGAGAACCTGAATTCTCCCTGTCCCACTGCCTTGGGTCTGCTCCACTCTTCACCCACTGCAGGTGTGAAGGCTCGTTCCAAAGTTCAGGTTCTGCGTTTTTGTGCCTTGCCAGGAAGATAAAAGGGTTGGTAAAACTGTAACTTGACCTTAGCATTTCGCAGCAGCCGCAGAGATAAGCTGCTGAAGGAAATACAGAGAGCAAAACACGGATGGCTCTGGAGAAGGAGACCCCCCAAGGCAAGAGCTGCATGTGAGACCCACAAACAGGACTCGGGGCAGCCTGGCTGGCTGGCAGGAATGGCCCTGGACTGCTGACCAGCATTGCAGGCTGGCAGGAATGGCCCTGGATTGCTGACCAGCATCACAGGCTGGCAGGAATGGCCCTGGACTGCTGACCAGCATCACAGGCTGGCAGGAATGGCCCTGGATTGCTGACCAGCATCGCAGGCTGGCAGGAATGGTCCTGGACTGCTGACCAGCATCACAGGCTGGCAGGAATGGCCCTGGACTGCTGACCAGCATTGCAGGCACTGTAGGCTCTGCCACACAGAGGGACCCCTGTGCTGCTGCTGCTGCAGGTTGGAGAAGGAGAAGATTGACTGAAGCTGCCTGTTATTTTTGGCTACTCTAGCAATGTATCAAAAACCTGACTCTGGGTTGATGCTGGTGCCCTACTTTATAGAAGCCCTGAAAAGCAGATCAAGGACAGCGAGCTTGTCTCTCTGCATGGCATCTGCCAGCAAAGGGTGAGAAAACTTCAAACTGCTGGTGGGGGGAATGGGGGAGGAAAAATGAGGCAAAATGTGCTAAATCCAGAGCGCTGTTTGCAGACTTCAAGGGAAAGGGGTTCTGCATGTCCTCCACTAAGGAGGGAAGGTGGGACAGGCAGAGACTGGGGTGTTCTTTTGCCAGTGTGGCTGGTGAGCTGGTGCCATTGTCCCCAGGGCAAGCTGGGGACCAGTTTGCTCTGGAAGGAAGAAGGGACCCCACTGGCCTTAGGAGACCACGCTCCTTGTTAGTCAAGCCCAGTAATAATGCTGCTTCGTATTTTCTGGATCTTTTGGCAGTGAGAGGGTCATGGCCACCTCTCTGGCTGAGGAGGAGAGGCACGTAGGGGAGGCTGTGCGGAGAGTTAGTGTTGGAACTGGGCAGAGAACCTGCGAATTTTGACTTGTCAGTGCCGTGCACGGTGGCGCTGGCTGGAGAAATGGTCTGTCTGGGAATCTGGCTTGTGTGTCCCTGGAGGAGGCGAGACTTGTGCCTGCTGCCTCAGGCGGGACCTGCTCCTGTGACCTCCTTCTCTGAGACCTGCTTCTTTCTCCTGTGCTCTGGGGGAGCCCCGAGTATTCCTGCCACCTGGGGATGTTTAATGCTTCTGGCGTCTGCCCCTCCAAAGCTGACCAGCGTTTGCAGCCCAGGTGCCGGCTTTCTCCGCTGATCCGGAACTGCCGGATTTGTGCTTTGCTGCAGACATGGACAGTAGCCTTTGAAAAGTGCAAGAGGAAGCAGCCATCAGTAAGAGGCAGGGGAAAGTGCCATGTGGTGGTTTTTCATTTACTAGATAGTCCTACTTTGTTCTTGATGAGTAATGGAGGCATTTGAATACGCCAGGATGACAGCAGCAGTCTGGCTCTGGGAACGTGTCGGCGTGGGCTGGCTGAGGATGGTGGCAGTCGGGACAGTGGGACCATGCCGCGGAGCCTTTCCGTCTCCTCTCCGCTGCCTCACATCTCCTTTGCCGCTCACCTGCTGCCCCGGGCCCCGCGTTCCGTGAGGCCGCCCGGGCCTGAGCCCCGCGCCCCCGGAGCCCGGCGGGGAGCCCGGCCCGGAGCCCCCGGTGAAGTCCGCGCCGATGCGGGCGCGCTCCGTGCGGGGTGCGGACCATGGCTCAGGCAGGGGCCGCCGGCTGCTGCTGCAGGCGCTACTCCCTGCTGTGGATCGCGCTGCTGCAAAGGTCAGTGACTCGGCTCTCCGAAACGGGAAAGGAATGCGCTGCGCGGCCGAGGGCAGGGACAGGCGGGCGGCGCCGTCCCTCCCCTCCCGCTGCCGGGCCGGGGGACGCGGCGGGGCCAGCGGCGCCCGGGACAGCCGCCGCCCGGCTCGGGTGCCGGAGAGCCGCGCCGTACCCCGGTTTATCTCAACAGAATGAGGGCGACGGGCGGGAGAGGCGGCAGGAGGCGAGGGGTGAGCGGCTCGGGGACCGCGGGGCACGGAGCGCTGCTGGGAGGCGAGGGGGCACTCCGGCCGCGGCGGAGAGCGCCGCACGCCCGCTGCCCCCGGCCGAGCCCGCGCTCCGGGGGCGGCGGGCCCGGGGCGCTCTGCCCGGCTACAGCGCAGCCAATGGGCCGCGGCGGGGCGGAGCGGCGGCGGGGCCGGCCCGGGGCGGCGGCCGGGGGCGGCGGGCCGGGGGTCCCCGCCCGCGGTGGCGGCGGGAGCGCGGCATGGCCCAGCCCGAGCGCGGCGGCGGCGCGGCGGGCCCGGGCCCGGCGGGTGAGTGCGGGGCCGTGCCCCGGGTGCGCGGTCCTGCGCGGGCAGCGCCAACTCCGCGCCCCGACCGGCGGGTCCCGCACGGCGCCCGGTGCGGAGCGGGCGGGGGCGGCGGGCGCGCAGCGGGGCCGGGGCGCGGAGGCCGCCGCGCTGGAGGGACCGGCGCTGACAGCCGCTCCCGGCCCGCCCGGGGATGTGCGGCCGCGCTCCGTCCCTCGTTCCGTGCGTTCGCGGTTTGTTTCCATCCTGGGCGGCGTTTCATCATCCGTGCCCGGGCTCGGCAGCCGCGCTGTGGAGATGGGCCTTGCGGCTCCATTTCCGTGTGCTTGCTCCAGGAGGACACATCCTGCCTCGCCTTTGCCGCCTTGTCCGGATTCTGCCTCCAGACTGATGTTATGCAAAATTTCGGTTATAAAAATCAAAGCCCTTATCCCCACCCTGCTCCCCCCGTGGGAGGTGGCGATTCTGGGGCGCAGCTGGGAGCGGCGCGGGAGTTCTGCCGTGAGTGCCGGCAGGGAGCAGGGGGCTCTGGCTCGGTCCCGGCGTCCCGGTTTTGCTTCTGCTGCCGTGGACGTGTACCCCAGGTGTTCGTTGAGGCCCTGCTCGCTCCAGAGGCCGGTGTGTGGGAATGACTTGTTCACTGTGCTGTGGCTCGGGCTCCAAATTGGAGTGGTGGATCTGTCACTGCTGTTTACAGTGGATGTCCCCAGATTTGGTACTATTTAGGCTGATGTGATAAAAGGTGGGTTTTTTTTAATATAAGTGTTCAGTTCTGTTTAAAGTGTCATGTTGATGCCATTCTGCTTATGGAAAATAGGCTCCTTGAAAACCATTTTGGTGATTGGAATTAATGTCTATTTCTGATCGCCTTTGCATCCATGTCACAAATGCCATCAGTGTCCTTGCTGGTCATCCTGTGCTGGGCTTGCAGGCTGCCCCTGACAAACTTTACAGTGGCACGTTGTTAAACAAATACCCATGCTCAGGTGAATGTCACAGGTTAAAATCGTGCTTCAGGTTTGCTCTGGCAAAAACAACGTTTGGAATCTGGTATGAGCTGACAGAGTCCTTTTGAATGTAATTAATCCTGTTGCCAGTTGAAACTGAGAACAGTCTGAAAACAAGGGCAGGCATTAATAAGTTTAATTACATGTCCTTTGTGTTGCTCAGGGAAGGTGTTGCATTAGTGAGGGCAACCTGTAATGCCAGGCTCCCATCCTGAGTCTGCTGAGCAGAGTTTCCCAGGCAGAGATCAGCAGCTGGGGTTCAGGGAATGGCAGAAGTTCAGGACAGCAGAACATGGGGAAGGGTGTGCTGCTGCATGCTGAGACTTCATCCGCACGTCCTCTTCTACAGGGAGAAGAACATTCTTCATCTTCTGGAAGCCTGCGAGTTCTCTTGTGTGCTGTTGGTGCTGGCTATTCCCATAACATCGCTTTCATATTTATTGTTACATTGGGGCAGGATGAGGCACAGGGGAGGAAGGGATGAGAATTCCCAGCGGCGGTGGGAGGTCAGCGGGAGGTTGGCCCCAGCAGGGAGGGTCACGCAGGCACTGCTGAGCCCTGGGGAGCGCTGCTGCTGTGCAGGAGAGCAGATCAGAGCAGCCCGGGCCGTGCAGAGCCGAGTCCCAGAGGGAGCCGGCAGCAGCGAGGCTCAGGAGGGGCCGTGGCACAGGCAGAGCTCCCGGGTGGAGCTGGCAGAGCTCGGTGGGTGATTTACTCCATCTGCGACTGCTAAAATCCTTCTCCCGTCTGATGTTGCAAATCAATTTACTGGAGTTGTGCACTTTGTTCTCAGTCATAACAAACCCCTAATCCCCGGGCTGGAGACAGATTTAGATTCTGTCTGTGCTGGATCTGCCGGGCTGTTCTGGGCACGGAGGACCCCTGCAGCGGGCGAGTGCAGGGGAGGGAGTCAGGGCTGCCCTAAAGAACCTGCGCCCAGCTGGGCACAGAAAAGAACTGTCAGCCTCAAAAAGCTGCACACAGGGAATCTTTCCTGGCCAGGAGAAGTGTCACAGAGTCAAATGTAATTTGGGAGATCAAATCCTTTGACACTGGGAAGCGTGCACTCTGCCAGCTCTGCAGCTGGTGTCAGTGGGACTTCTTCAGTGTAGGGCCTGGACTTCCTTCAGAATTCCCCAATCTGCTCATGTTCTCAGAGCAGAACAGCAGGAGATTTAAGAAAAGTTCTTCATTTCCCTCCCCCCTCTTTGTTTCAATGTTAAGTTTTGTGTCTGCTCCATCCCTATGCAGCCACCCACCAGGTTCTGTGTTTGTTTCAGTCTCTCAGAAATAATCAGGAACGTTTTCATCACAAAACCACAGGAGCAGCAGCCGGGTGGTTTCAGGCAGGTGAGGCTCTGAAATGAGGACTGACAGAGTTGCCTCTGCAGTGATGTTTGCTGCCTCCATTGCTCAAAACCCAGCCCCGGAGTTGGGTGAGGAGAGGATTGATTGCCTCTCCATGCTTGTTCTTGCAAGTCTTCCCTGCAGTCCACGTGGTCCTGGTTGGATTTGGTGACACTCAAGTGGCTGTGGAGGGCACAGGCAGAGGGGATACATCCCTTCACATGGTAATGTTTTATGACTTTTATTATTTAGCACAACAATCCTCTCTGATTGCTCTCAGGCAGCAGAGCTCTTTCTTTAATAACCAGAGACTGGCTGCTGCTCTGCAGGACTCGCCAGGTCAGTGCCAGTAGCAGTAATGTTATTTCTCTTTACAACTAATGTGGTCTTTTATGAGATTTTTTTCCTCCCCCCTTCATTTCAACTGAACTTTAGGCAAGTAAAAAGGGATTTTAAAAAGGCCCTTGGCAAAAAGAACGGAATGTGCTGTTTGCAAAGAGGGTTCCCGCTGTGAGATGGCTCTGGGCAGCTGGCCGCTCCCAGCGTATTAAAACAAAGGTGTAGGATTGGAATTAGATCAGCTGACATAAACGGGACAGGACCTGGAATACACAGCGAGTTATTGGAGCAAGAGATCGGACAGCCCCACAGGCAGCAGCATCTTCCCAGTGATGCTGGGGGGATGGATGTGAACAAAGTACCTCTGTCATCCTGGAAGTGTGTGTTCACCCTCAGCAAATGCTGTTCCAGGTGCGTTTGCCTGTTCAGGGTGGCTGATGGCCAGCACAGGTCTGCAGGGACTCAGGTGTCCCTGTCGCTGTGGGTGCTGCTCTCAGGCTCAGGAGAGCAGCTTGTGGCCTTCCTCTTACTGCTGGCACGAGGGGAAATCTGTGGGGGGACTGGCAAATGTCTTCCAGAAAATGGGCTCCTGCCACAGTGCCTTGTCACGAGGGACAGGAGAGCTCTCTGCCCTGGAGCAGGGATTAAAGTGAAAGGACGGTGCCCTTGAGATGGGACAGAGCCCTGGGAGGGAGGCTCTGCTCGTCCTGCCCTGCCAGGGCTGCTCTGGCCCAGATCCCCATCCCTGCTGCTGAGATTTCCAGCAGCTCTAATTAATGACATCTCCCCACTTAGCCCTTGATACACAGACAGATGCTGGGTTTTTAGGGCTGGTTTGAGACCTGCAGCGCTCCCCTGCACGGAGCAGCATCTGGTGAGAAACGTGTCTGCTGCTGACCTGGGCTGGATCCCAGCGGCCGCTGGGAGCGAGAGACATCGTGGGAGCAGGTCCTGCTGAGGCAAGGACCTGGCAAATCACCTCCCTGCAAAAGTCCCCTTCGTTTTAGGATTCCCAGAGGCATTCAGCAGTGTGTGGATGGATATAAACACACATTTGCTGAATCTGATGAGAGCGTCCTGGGAAACTCCTCCTTGGTAATCCTTCAAATAGCACATCTGCACTCCCACCCGGGGCCATCCAGCTGCAGTAGTTTTAAATGAAAAATAGACTTCTTTTAATTTTTTACAAAAATTCTTAGGCCAGCATGACGCGATGCAACTCAGTGATGTACTGAGTTATGGTTTATTTTATCAGTATTTATATTTGTGTACACAAGAATGCAAGTCTCAGCTTGGTTATTTACCTTTTCTAATTTCATCTGTAAAATATGGAAATACGATTTACCAGAAATGCCTTGATTCTGGGCTTATCTGGGCTGGGTGAGAAGTCTGTACTGTCAGTTCCTGAGCTGCTGGATATTAGTTCTGCACTCAGCATCCAGAGGTAACTTGATCTATCTGCCTGTATTAGAGTTAATTTACAGTCTCATTCAGAGGAAAAGGATAGGGACCCTTTTCTCTGCAAACAGTGTAAAATTGCCGCAAAGTACTGGGAAATGACTGTGCTGGGTTCCTAAAGATCAATTTACTCACCAGAGATGTGGGGTGAGTGGGCAGCTGAGAGAATGGCTAATGGCGTGGAGAGCCTTTGCTGGGAGCTCAGGGCTCCTGACCCAGCACAGGCCTGTGCCAACCCCAGCAGGGCTTTCAGCACGAGGGCTGCAGGTTGTCCCCTCAGAAAGCCTGTGCTGGTGGCTGTTGTGCAGATATTTCACTGGTGTCACCACAGCTGGTCCTGGCTGGCGCCCTGGCAGGTGCAGGGAAATGTCCCGGAGGCCTCGGGCGGCGGTCCCCAGGCTGGGTGTCCCTGGGCAGGACGTGGCCCTGGCACTCAGAGCTGTCCATGGAGCAGCTCACGCAGGGAACCAGCCACAGGCAGTTCTGTTATCACCTGGGGCTTCGTGCATGGCCTGAATCTTAATGGCAAATCTAGAGAAGCACCTGTTTATCTGCTGCTGCCGTTTATCTCAGAATCTCCTTGGGCTGTTTTCTGGATCCAGCCTGGGGTGTGATTCACTGGAAGCGATGAATTTTGCATGCACTGTTGACATTTCTCTCTGTTTTGGTCAGCTTCATTCTGGGGAACAACAAAACCCAATGCACAATCAGAGCAAGCTGGGAGTATACTGGGAGCACTGTTGTTTGGCTCATGGAAGACCGTGCTGAGAATATCACAAACGCCGTTTGATTGCTGTCCTTCCGTGCCTTTGGAGAAGGCATCACACTCCCTTTGTAGAGAGGGACACTTGGTCTCTCTGGGAGCCCCCAAAGTGCTTGCCAGAGGTTTTAAAGGTCAGAGTTACCAGGATTGGGGCTCTGGCATAGGAACATCTGACGTGGTGCAGGCTATAGAGAAGGCAGCTGCTCCCTTTGCACTCAAGTTATTTTTCCCCTTGCCACTTCATGGGTTTGCTGTGTTTTCCCTGGGAGTACTTAACTGTCTTTCTTCTTTTTTTTTTTTTTCCCTTGAGCTCTCTGGTTTTGCTTTAAGAGTTACAGCACCATTGATTGTATTGGCTGTCTCAAAAATGGTGCTCTGCTCACTGTCTGTGGGCTCCCTGCTGCTAAATGCTGCCAGTGGGACTCCAGAGCATTTAGATCAATCAATAGGGCTATCACAGCCTTACTTTCCACACTGTCCCCATCCCAGGGATGTGTGTGACAATCAGAGAGGGCTCACGAGCCCAAGGGTTGTTGGTGACAGAGTGCACATCTAGTTGTGGGTGTTTTGGTGAGGTTCTGGCACCACCAGAGCTTAGCACCAGGGGCTGTAGACCTGGTGGTGCTGCTGAGACAGCAGTGGATGCTGCAGCCAGCTGGCCTCCCATGCACCCTAACTGCTACAGCCCACACCTGGGAAGCCTCGTTTAGGAACACCCCACACCTGGGATGTCTCCCACAGCAGGTGTGGTGGCCATTTAGAATTTGATTCAGTTGTTTAGAGACCTCCACAGTGTGCAGACCTCTAAAGAATTGACTCCTGACTGCATCAGAGTTGGGGAAAAATTGTTTTACTGCTCATACTGACTGCCATGGAATTTCTAGAGTAGAAATTACAACTGGGACAGCGTAGCAGGCCTTGTTCTTCAGGGCCCTCGGTTATTTCATGACAGAACATTCCCAGGAATGTTGTGCAGTTGTTGCTAACAGATGTTGCTAACAGATTTCCCTGGGAAGGAGAGCATCCGCTGACACCGTTACGGTTTTCCTGCAGATCCCATCTAATGCCGAGGCTGAAGGAATCGCGCTCCCACGAGTCCCTGCTCAGTCCCAGTAGTGCTGTCGAGGCTCTGGATCTCAGTATGGAGGAGGAAGTGGTCATCAAGCCAGTCCACAGTAGCATCCTGGGACAAGACTACTGCTTTGAGGTAAGGAGCCGTGCTGGGGCTGCTCCTGGGGAGCCAGGTGTGGGCTGGCATCTGGGGCTGGCTGTTACCAAACATTGCTGCTCAGAATTGCTGCACAGAGACCATTTCATAGGCAGAAAATTACTCCCATCTTTCCAAGGAGGATCATATCCACACAATCAGAGCAGTGAGCTCCTTGTAAGTGCTGTTGCAGCAGAGCTGCTGGCACAGGTGCTGCACTGCTTAGGGCTGTGTATCAGCAGAGCATGAATTTGTTTATGCCCCCACAGTTTATGTTCATACAGATACTGGGAAATGCTAATCCCTACTCAGTGTTCCCAAAGACATTACATGTGGTCACAGAGCCAGCCTGCTGCTGTCAGTGGGTGTGTGGAGGACTTTGTCTAGAAAACTGAAGCTTCCCTTGTTTGGGTAAATAGAAAAATCTGTGACTATTTCAGATTACTTTGACATCTGTTACGGCATGTGGTAAGGTCTGTGCTAGCAGGAGGGAGTAGGACATGTACAGCCCAGGCTGTAGCTGGATAATTCAGTACAGGATATCTTGGGAATCATTTGTCCTGAATTGTGGATGGCAAAGTATTATTGCTTATGGCAGTGGCAGGGTACAGAACTGGGAATTGGTTTTCTTACAGTAATAAGGCAGTGGATATTTGTGTTTCTGTGAAGAGCAGGTAACACCTGTTTGTGCTTGGACACAGAGAAGCAGATAAATGGTGTAGCTGTGTTTGGATTGTGCTGTAGGGGTGATGGAGCTGCAGACTGTCCTTGGATGGGGCAGTGCTGGATGAGAACACATGTCAGTGTTCAAGAGGAGTCAGACTGGAAAGATAAAGACACTTTTCTTTACTGAAATCGGCACATTTTGAAATAAGTGAGGTAAAAGATCTATTTCTTAAAATATAAGTGGGTAACATGAAAACAGTCTTACAAAAAAATAGCCTCAAACATAAACTCTCTAGTTGGCTGAGGTATAAATTTTGCATTGCTGTTCATTCTTTGTGGAATTGAGCAAGTGCAATGGGTCAGGAGGGGAACAGTTTTGTAAATTATATGTCCTCTATTACATTCCACTCAAGAAAGATAAAATGAAGCTAGATGGAAAATAGATGTGACATCCATAATATAAGAGTTGTTTACCAATTCTGTTCAGCCCACAAGAGGAGAGTAAGGGATATGAACAGAACTTGTAGAAAGCTGAGTGAGAGGGAAATTACACAAGCCACGCACTTGGAAGGAGGAAAAAAATTTTGGGGTTAAGTGAGTTGGATAAAGAGAAGTCACACCGTAAAAAAAGAATGTGTTAATTGCTGTTCTGCAAACCCTGCAGAGGAGAGGAAGAATGCCAGGAAACAACAGGGACATTGATTTGTCACTGGTGGCTGCTCACCAGCAAGCTCCAGCAGGAGGGGCCGAGGTGAGAGCTAAATGGCACTTTGTGTCAGTGCCTCGGCCTCCTGAGAGCCCCTTCCAAGCTGGGAGGGAGCTCAGCACTGGAATGGGTTTGCAGATCTCCTGGGATCCCAGCTGGGGGCCAGGCAGTGACTACAGCTCACAGCACTCAGGTACCACTGATGGACACAAAGGAGCTCAGGGGAAAAGCAGCCCTGACCAAGAAATGCCAGGTGAGAAGGCCCTGCCAGGGTCACAGGGACGAGGGGAGCTGAGGTGTTTTCTGTGCAGTGCATGGGGAAGGTGCCTCACCCCTGCTCCCTCGGGAGATGTGCTGGGAGCAGGCAGGGCTGGTGTCTCCAGCTGGGGAGTGAAGCTCGTGTTGGGCAGTGCCAGCCTGGCTCAGGCCTTCACCTTCTCCCACACTGGGGTGGCTGGGCAGGGACAGTGCCTGGGAGCTGCTCCTGCCCCAGCTGGCCAGGGGCCATCGGTGCTCACCTGGCAGCTCCTCCCCCGAGCAGCCTCGGGGAGCAGGCCAGGAAGATCTGACACGGCTGCAGATGGAGGAGAGCGATCCGAGAGGAACTGGCAGCACACCCAGATGGAGACAAAAGTGAGAGGTGCCAAAGCCATCTGCAGTGGAAAACAACCAAGTGGCTCGTTGGGAGGCAGCTGGTGGATGAAGGTGCAGGGAATTGTTCCTCCTTCTATCTCCACCACCCTGCATTAAGACGTGCTCGGCCCTGCTCCCCTCAGCTCTGCCAGGGAGCACAGTCAGCACCAGGGCAGGGCTTTTCCACAGGCTGCATTTGGCTTTTTCTGCTTACTTAGTTTTGTGAATCTTGCTTTTTTCTCACTTGCTGAGTACTTGGCAGTCAGTATTTACTTGTTTCCTTCATTGATTTTTTTTTTTTTTTTTAAATTACTCAGCATCATCTTCTTTCTCCTTGCAAGACTCCTCAGTCAGCAAATCATCCCGTGCCACTGCACGTGCTGCGTGTGCTAAATATACAGTGGGCATCTCAGCCAGTACAGAGGCTCGGAGCCCAGGCTCCCTGAGCCTATTCCTGGCCCTGGTTTTTGGAGGGCCCTGGGCCAGGCAGGGCCATTAAGGCTGAGGGGCTCTCTTAGGTCTTGGTAGACCAAAGCCTTGTCCCCTTGCACAGTTGTGCCTGAGCTGTCCCAGGACACAGCTGAGGGAAAGACAAACTATGGTTGCTCCAATACGGCTGAGCCTCTTGCCTCATCCTGGCCTTGCCTCAGCAAGGGAGAATTTAGTGGAGCTAAATTTAGCAGCACTAAATTTGACCCAGCTGTGCAAACGTTGGCCACGGCTCGTGTGGCCCTTTGGATGCCTGGAGCGGCTGTGGGGCCGGGGATGCTCTGAGCCCTGAGTGCTCCTTGGAAAACCCTCTGGACACTGAGTGCAGCACCCTCAGTGCTCAGTCATCACCCTGTTACTCCATGCATGTCCCTCCAAGTGAAGCCACCCTCTACCTTAGGACTGTCTTAAAAAGACAAGATTTTATCTGGACAGATTGCCTATCCAAGGACTGGGGATAATGAATAGGAAAGGTAACATTGCAGAAATTAATGAGTTTTATTAATTGAGTTTGTCCTGTACATTAACAGTATTCCAGCATGTCCAAAATCTTGATGAGACAGAATACTGTCTTTATAAAGATAATTAATATCTCATAAAGATCATTAATGCCATATGATATTTAAGTCAGAACTCAAAGCTGGGATCTGATTGCAAATCTGGGGGAAATTACATTTTTGTTCACACATGGTAGACGTGATCCTCAGTTCCCATCAGACCAAGACACACTTTGTATCTGACACATTATTTTCCCCTTCTCTTACTTCAGTATGACAGTTACAGATTTTTTAGGTTTTGAAAGATTAATTTATAATTGGTTTAAAATTGAATAACGAATTTAGCCATGATAATGCATGTGTTTACTTAAGTGTGGCAAGAAAACACAGTGACAATCCTGTGTGCCAGCAGAACTCTGTGGGAAGGCTCAGGGATGGAGGTTAACAGGAGCATGGGCAGCAGCAGGGAGGAAATGAGATGAGGCAAGAGGGTTTGTCATGGGAGATTTTGAAGAAGCTGGAAATAGTCTGGAGCATGAAAGGATGCTGGAAAGATCACACTGGTGTGCCTGCTTGTATGGAGTCTGTTCTTAAAACTTCAGGAGAGCTTATGCTCAGCAGAATGTATTTTACAGGCAGAGTATAAAAGTATGCAAGGACTGGGAGAATGTCTGTCTGAAGGAGAAAGCTTCTGGAATATCAAGAGTTGGAAGATTCTTTGCGTTTTTATGTAAAGACAGAACAGGCCTTTTCTCATTCTGCCCTGGTCTGTGTTCAAAGGAAGGGATGTGTTCAACTTATCATTGAGGTTTGCTAATGACAAATCTCAGCGAGTGCCAGCTCTGCTGTAAGAACAGGTTGGGCTTCTGGGAGATACATGAAATTAAAGGAGATTGTGTCTCCCAGAAGCTGATAACCCAGTGCACAGTGTGTAAACACAAACTCTGGGAGATGATAAAGCACTCACAAATAACTCTGCAGGTTGAGACTGGCGGAAATGAAGCTCACAGGGGAGTTATTTAAAGTACCAGCCAGGTCCATTCAGCCTCCCAGCAGAGCTGTACGTGGTGAATATTGCTGGGCAAAAGAAATGCAAAGGGCAGAGAGCTCGAGCCACATTCCTGGTGGTCAGGACCAGCACGTGTGGAGGAGATGGCAGCTTGGGGAATATCTGTGTGTGAGGAGCAGGTGTAGGGAGCTGTGGGATTTGATGCCAAGGAAATTGGATGTGGGGGCATGGGAAGGAAATTTGGTGCCTGTCGTTCTGGGCTGCCAGACAGTGGTGCTTCCATGGGCTCAGCAGGATTGAGTTTCCCTGGGATAGAAGGAATGTGATGAAGAGTAAGGGGCACTTGCACCACTGGAAATGTCACTGCTCTGAGTGTGTTTCTTAAACCCTGGGTATGAACTCCAATGGCCAGAGAAAGTCACAAAAATACTGCAAAAGATCCCTTGGGATGAACCTGGAGGCGTGAGAGGAGGGCTCAGCAGCATTTCCAGCTGTGTCCAGGTTGGGAAGCCCCCCTGGTTCTCCCCCTGGGTCTCACCCATCCCACCCTCATAGGATGGGTGCTGTGAGCTCTGAGTGCCCTGGCTGGCCGTGAGCTGTACCACGGCCAGGAGTGGGCTGTACAGACCTGTCCCCAAGATCTTCACAGCAAGGGCTCCTGGAGCTGCAGGGCACCAAGGGGGAAGGTGGGAAAGCAGCCTTTTGAGCCCAGTGTTCTGCTGGAAACAAGGAGTGGGTTGTTACTGACACAGACTTCGGGCTGAGCCTGGAGGAATGCCAAGTAACCACTCAGAGTTCCAATTTATCTTTAGTTCATCTGAGGATTTGCACTCTCTCAGTTGTGGAAGTTGGTGGTTTAAAGCATCACATGCATGGGGCCCATTATCTAGTGTTTTCTGGTGTGGAAGAGGAGAAGTAATTGGAGTTTGCTTCTATGATTATTTCTGTGACATACAGAGTTGTCCTGTTTTTCCACCAGCCTTAGGGGCTGTTGCTTCATGCTTGGATAAAGCTGTTTACTTAAAAAAAACACCCAAAAATCCAGTAGCATTTTCCCTAAGCCCCCTTCTCTTCACAACCACACTCTGCAGTGTGCTGGTCAAGACATAATCCTGTTCCTTTGGCTGTAGGTGACGACTTCATCAGGAAGTAAGTGCTTCTCGTGTCGGTCGGCAGCAGAGCGAGATAAATGGATGGAGAACCTGCGGCGTGCCGTGCACCCCAACAAGGTAGTGCCTGGGAGGAATTGCCTCTGCTCTAGTTCAGTTCCTCGTTACCACACTTTATAGCCCATGCAAGGGAGCAGCAGGGGATGTATTGTCATTGGAGTGAGTAAGTGGAACTCCAGGTCAGCCTTTTTCCATATTGCTTTCTTCCACAATTATATTTACAGACAAGTGCCAGTTATTCCTTCCCCTCTCAGAACGTGCTGCTTCAGCTCTTGCTAAGAATTGATCAGACCTGATGAATCTTTAGTTTTGCTGTTACTGATGGGACTTGCCACTTCCACAGGACTGTCGCCTCCCAAAAGCCTTGGGACAGATGTCAGGTAGCTGCCAGCCAAGTCACAAGGCTGAACAGTCTGAAGAGTTCACGTCAGCTCCTGACACAGTCTGCTTTAGTGATGGAGGAGCTCAGATGTCCATTTTCAGAGGTGACAGTGGAATGTAGCTTGCCCTTCTCCAGCCAGTTGAGGTGCAAAGTCATCTCTTGGGATTTACAGGAACAAATCCTTCTCTTCACTGGAGCACAGGGACACCCAATATGCATTTTTATGGCCCACTAAGACTAAGTACATCCTAAAATAAAACGTACAGCTGCTTCTTCTGTGCTGGAGTTGGCTACAAAGATTGGTCAGGATTAATGCAGATTCCACAGCTGATGAGCTCAACCAAGTCTTCATCTGCTGGTCAGAGAAGACACCAATGATGGATCCTGTGAACTCCTCCTGCCTGTGCACACTAATTCAGTCCAGGCCTGGTGGGTTCTCAAGGGACCCTCAGTCTCAGAGTCTGTTGTTCCCAGCAGAGTGCCAAATGTCAGAATAAAAGATTTCCTGTAATATCAGAGTGTGAGCAGTGGAGGAGAGAGGTGGCCTTCTGCCTCTGGCAGTATGTTCCTCTAGTGAAGTTCAGTTGCTCCAGTACTTTCCCAGGGCTTTTCCTGGTGATCCTGACCTGAGAGGGCTGTGTAAGGTTTGTGTGGTCACACTTAGCATGAGAGAACTCCTGGGAATGCGAGCTGGGGTTGGGCATGTCCCTACAGCTTCAAGGTGCAGTGTTGAGTGGAAATCCATTTGGAAGTATTTCCATCATCTCAAAACCTGCAGTAACTGATGGCTGAGTTTCCATCTTTGTTTGAGTTCATAGACAATAAACTCTCAGTATCCAGCTTGATATTTCTGTCAGGAATTCAGTGTTCTTGTGCAGTTCCTGTGTGTACTTCCTGAACCTACAGTACCCCATTGTGGACTTCCAGCAGAAATGTTCCTGCCCAGACTCCTGGGCTGAGCAGAGTAAGCCGTGGCTGCTGTTTCAGTGAGGGGTTTCCAAACAAAACAGGGTTTGCAGTGGTGCAGCTGGCAGTGCTTTATCATTGGAGTCACTCCTGCAGCAAATACCCCTGGATGTTCTTCCAGGATGAGGTCAGCATCACGAGGGAGCTCTGAAAGATCCACAGTATTCTTGGCTCTGGTATTGTTTAAAAGATATCCAAGGCAGATTTCTGTCTCTGAATTGTCATGATTCTTCCATGGGACGCTCTCTCCTGTGATTCCTCTCAGTGTTTAACTTGGATGCTCTGGACTTCTGCCCTAAAATATGGTGAGGTTTTACAAACAGTTTTTTCCCTGCCATTGGTGGTGGCATTCCCACATGGATGAGGCGATCCCTGGGTCTGCATTCAGGTCCCTTTGTGTTGCTGTGTTACAGGAGATATCATGAACTCAGTGCTGCTGTAGAGCAGCTCTACGGAAAGCAGAGGAGGCTGTGAGATAACCTGTAACAGCTTCTGCTTTGCACAAACCATTCAGGACCAGTGAGGTTTTTACGGATTCTTCAGAGGCCCTCTTGGCAGGGAATGGGAAATGGTACATTCATGATTTGGAGGGGTTTTATCTTCCTTGTTCCTTATATTAATTGGCACCAACAGACATGGAGAGCACGATGATATTTTGGAAAATTAACATAAGTAGTGTTATTATGCAAATTCTTGAGAGCCAGTATTTCCTTAAAATAAAGTGTAATTAAGCCTCTGCTCATTTAGCACATCCGAAATAATTAATTCATATCTCCAGTTTTGTTGTGCTTGGCTTTGTGGGGTTTTTTATTGACCTTTTTTTCTTTGCTTCTTTTTTTTCAGGACAACAGCAGGAGGGTAGAGAATATGTTAAAGTTATGGATTATTGAAGCAAAGGACCTGCCAGCTAAGAAAAAGTATTTGTGTGAATTATGCCTGGATGACGTTCTTTATGCACGAACTACCTGTAAATTGAAAACTGATAATGTCTTCTGGGGGGAGCACTTTGAATTTAATAACCTCCCATCGCTCAAAAACATTACTGTGCACTTATACAAAGAGACTGACAAGAAGAAGAAGAAGGACAAGACCAACTTCATTGGGCAGGTGAACATCCCCGTGAGCTCGGTGACGGGCCGGCAGTTTGTGGAGAAATGGTACCCAGTGGTGAGCCCCAACCCCGGCAAGGGCAAGTCCCCGGGGCCCATGATCCGCATCAAGTCCCGCTACCAGAGCATGAGCATCCTTCCCATGGAGATGTACAAGGAGTTTGCTGAGTACATCACCAACAATTACATGGTGCTGTGCTCGGTGCTGGAGCCCTCGCTCAGCGTGAAGAACAAGGAGGAGATGGCGTCGGCGCTGGTGCACATCCTGCAGAGCACGGGCAAGGCCAAGGTAGGACCCTCTGCCATCTGTGGTGGCCCTCAGGCAGAGCAGACTGGGCTTGGGTTTCAGGCCATCGTTAACGTGCTCTGTTTTCCTTTTGATTGCAAACAAGCTGGTAGCACACACAGCACGAGTTACTTAATTAGCAGAGAGGTTGGTGGGACCACGAGACACCAGCTGAGCCACTTTCCTTCACTCTTCTCCTTCTGGAGGTTCAGGGGCCAGGCTCTTTCTGTATAAACAGGCACAGTTGTGAAAGTAAGCAAGAAGGCAGTTTTCCAGGATGGAATGTAAGCAGTGCTGGCCTGAGCTGTGCAGCCTGTGTGTGCTGGGTATTCCTGGGTTCCATGCTCTGCTCCCTCTGTGCTGAGCACCCTGCACAGTGAAGCTGAACAGGAGTGAGCAGCCTGTCCAGAACTCCAGACCAAGGTGCCTGCAGGCCTGCATGTCTCTGGATTAGCTCTGGGTCTTCAGTGTCTGTGCTACTGCTTTTGGAAAGGGGTCCAGGGGTGCTCCCATGGCCATGCTCATTGGAGGTTGATGCCACTGACTTGCAGGTGGTGGAAGTTCAGCCTTTGTGGACCACTTGGAGCCCCCTTCCTGGCTGGGGATGCCCTGCAGGTCTGGGGAAGAAGCAGGCCAGGAGGAGGCAGAGAGTGGGAGTTACTCTTGGTTGTGATCCGTGAAGGAGCAGGCAGGGTGGGCAGAGCTGGAATGCCCTTCCTTGCTGAGGTCCCCAGCACACAGGGCAGGGAGTGACTCCTGCTGCAGAGCATCCTCCATCCCTGGTGGCCTGGCACGACCACAGCGGGCAGTGCCCGTGTCAGGGCTGCAGGAGTTAAAGCATCGCTGTTTTTCTGTGACCATCTCCCTGCACTCTGCAGGGGAGAGCTGGGGAAGGGCAAGATGTCCAAAGCTTTTGCAGTGCTGAGGAGATGTGAGCTCCTCACCTGAGGGGCAGTCACAAGGCTCTGCTTCCTTGGCAGCTGCTGCTGCTGCCGGGGCCCGTGGCCGGGCTCGTGGATTAGGTTTAGTTACCATCTGTCAGACAGAGAAGTGGCTTGGCTGCCTGATCTAGTTCAAGGCAGGCAAAGCTCGCTGAGAGGATTGGGAGCCAGGGGCCTGCTGCTGCAGCAGCAGCAGAGAAAATAGCCTGTTAAAGCCTCCTGATCCCAGGAGGGCAGGGAAGGACCTGTAGGAGTAACACTGTGGCTCCACAAGAGCTGTGCTTGGTGTCTCTGATCACTCCTTGTTCCAGGGCTGTCAGCCCGTGGTTCCTGGGCACAGCCCTGCTTTATGGTGGCACCAGGGGCTCTGCTGCTCCTCGCTGTGGCTCCTGCAGCTCTTATGGCATGGCTTTGTGGGAATAGCATTGCCATGGAAGACCCTGTCCATGGCTTACACAGTTCTGCTGCAAAAGGCTTCAAGTGTCATCCCAGTTTTAATCACCATGGATCATGTGTGGGCATGGCAGAGGGTGGTTGTCACTGCTCCAGCCTTTTTCCTCTCTGCCTTTCAGTACTGGAGAGGCTCCAGAGGGAGCAAGTGTGTTTCCAGACATGTGTCTGCATCAGTGCTTGAGATCCCAGAGGCTTTACACAGGGGACACAGCAAACAGTAAACAGACTTGATGACTTTTCCCCTAAAATGGAGCTTCTGCTTTCCCTTCCTGTCATCTGCCATCAGCATTAGCGCAGGGTTTTGGGAGCTGTCAGAGCAACAGGAGTTATTGGAGCATGGGAACCAGGTGCTGCATCCTGGGCTGGACAAGCAGGGAGAGGGAAAGGCAGCAGAAAGGTAGAAAAATAATGAACGAGAGAAGAAAGCACCCCCTCAGCCCTGCTTGGGGGATGTGGGTGCACCCCGGTACCCCTCAGGAGAGCTCCCCATGGCTGCCCCAGCACCCTGACCCCCGAGTGCTGGGCCAGCAGGGCAGGGACTCCCTTCTCCAGGCCTCTGTCACCTGGTGACTCTCGAAAGCTTGCCTGGGCTGGAGGTGGGTTCCTCGCCCTTGTGCATCACCAGGAGCCTTCCCAGTGAGCCCTTCAAAATCCCCCCCTGCCCTGTGGCTGATTGATTTCTGTGATAAAGGGGGTTTTGTGGCTCTTGGCTGCTGTAGCTGCGCTATGGCAGCAATTATGGACTGTGAAACAAGTGTCCAGTAGATTATCTTGGAAGACTCGTTAGCAGCTAATTGCCGTTGGGCTGTTTCGGGGTAATCCCTTAATGAGGCCGGGGTCGGGCTGTGTGTGTGCCCAGAGCTCGGGGCAGGAGAGGTGCGATGGTGCCACGTGCCAGACACAGCCAGGTCCCAGCCACCAGTGTCCCTGGGGAGGCACCAGTCCCGAGGGAACCCTGCCAGCCCGGTGTGGTTACCTGGAGCTGCTGCAACCCAGAGTCCTCCTGCCACGGGGGCAGCACGCCTGGGGCTGCAGGTGGAAGGGGGACAAGGGCTGTAGCTGAATTTTTTCCCTAAATCTCTGTTTCTTCCTGGGCTGTAGCTGTATCACAATAGATTAAAAGGTGGAGCATGAAAGCAGAGCCCCTCTGGAGTCAAAGTCCATGCTTCCCTTGATCTCTGTGTGGGAAAGGAAGAACTTCATCCCTGCAGCGCTGGGCTGGTGTGCGCAGGGCAGGCCTGGGAAGCTCTGAGCAGCTGCCAAGGCAGTGGGTGGAGGGGAGGGGAAGAGGGTTTTGATAAGGCTCTGAGTGCAGGGAGGGAGGGAGCTGCCCCAGCCCGCTGGAAAATCTGACGGACATCCATCAGCTGTTGGCACACACAGATGTCCCCTGTCTCTTACAGCAAGAAAGGCTGAGAGAGGTATTTGGTGGTTGAAGCAGAGATGTGGCCTCTCAGCTCAGTCCTTCACTTGTTACCTGTTTTCACCTTCCTAGTGAGAGCACTGATGAAGTGTTTGTTCCCATTAAGGATATGGAGATGCCCGACGGTTTTCCCATGTTCTGCAACCCACAGGTGAAAGACACAAAGTTGTAAAGCTGTTCTCCTGCCAGGGTTGGAGTTACCAGGAGTGCTCAGTCCTGCCTTACAGGGCTTGGTGTGGCCCCTGTGATGTGGTTGTGGATAGGTGGCTGCATCCTTCCCAAAGGACTTCTGATGCTTCCAGAATATTTCCCATGCTTAGATTTGTTTTAGGGCTGTCTCAGAGCTCCCAGAGCTCAGTTCATGACCATAAATATACAAAAAACTTCTCTTGTCCAGGGCACTAGTAGATCAAACCCAGCATTAGACAAAGCTCTAACCAGCCAGCTGCTCACTGGAAATAAATATTTATGGTGTTGGGAATGGAGTGAGGGATAAACATCTGTCCCTGTTTGTTTGTGCTGAGAGGATGTGCCTCAGCTGAGCAGATGTAGCTGCTCCCCCTGTGTGGATCTGCTGGAACCCCCCGTTCCAGGGCTGGGTCAGGCCTCTGGGACCTGCAGACACCACACAGGGCTGAAAAGTGACTGCTGGGCTCAGGCAGGGACATGAGAGGTCACTCAGTGTGTTAGTGTTGTATCCCTCAGGTTTGCTTATTTCCCCCAGCAAGGTGATGGACACAGATTGCCGTGAGTTAACCTCACACTGCCATTCACCACCTTTTCCAGAGGAGAATTAGAAAAGACCAAAAGTGCCGTGGATGAGTTGCAGGGTTTGAAGGAGGGAAGATCACTGTTTCCTGGCAGAGAAATATCTGGAGCAGATCCTCAGAGGATCTGTGTAATGGAAGGGTTGAGAACTTGGGGCTGGGGTCCTTGGTTTCAGACCATCTGTACAGGACCCAGCTGCTGCCCCTCTCCTTTCCTCCTCCTCAGCCTCCTGTGCCAGAGTTCCCTCTCCCATGGGCGTCTCCCAGTGCTCCTGCACCTGAAACCTACAGCCCTACCGACCACTGGTGTTTTTCACCTTTGCATAAGGGCCCAGCTGGACTCTGAGCTAGTCTTTGAAATAAGCAATAATCTTATTACCTTTATCAATTCAATCCTCTTAAGGTTAAGTCAATCCTATTAATCAGGCTTGTGATTTGGAGAACCTTATTATTTCAAAGTCAATCTGCCCATCAGTCAGTTACGATGCCAGGAGTGCTCAGCTCCAGCCCAGGGGGTGTGTGACCACCATGGGCAGTGCAGGGCCGTGGGTCTCCTCAGCTCCCTGGCACCCCACGTGCTCCAGCTCTGGACACATCCCGGAGAGGAGGGGCTGGGAGGATCTTCCTGGGCTGGCAAAGTGCAGAATCCATTCTGGATTTAGACAGGACACGTCCTGCAAGACTTGTGTTGCTTGTCAGCTCCCTTGGAAGTGCTCCTGCTCCCACCACAGCCTGCCAGGCACCCTGTGGCTTCATCCTTCTGCCTCAGGGGCTCAGGAGTGGAGGGCCAGGCACTGCCAGTGCCACCCTGCAGGCACAGGGACCAGCCAGCACTGGGAACCCCTCGGGACTGGGGCTGCCAGCTCCTGCCTGCCTTGGGAGGAGCTGCATTGGAATAGCACAGGCTAGTTTATGTGCAGCCTTGTGCTGTCATGCTCTGAATTTATTTATTTATGAATTGCTCTCCTTTATCAGCATATGTGCAGCGACTGGGGTCACACGGGATCAGATCTGTCCAGTCTGAAGCAAAAAGCCTTAAAATAAACAAGGGAACAAGCCTGAAGAACACTGCCACAGCCCTTAATTTTGACTGTAGACCTCTTCCTTCCCCTCTCGACTCTGATGTAATGAAATAAAGCATCTTATTTTCTTCCATTGCCAGGGGCCCTAACTGAAAACAACCCCCTGCTGATCTCTGCTGCTCAGAAACAGGGAGTTTTATTGGCTTTAGTTATTGCATTTTATTCAGGACCTTGTATGTGGGTGAGTGAGGCCCCCGGAGGGATTCCAGAAGTATTTGCATTCCATTTGTGTCTTCCGAGTGCTGGCTGCTGGAGTAGTTAAGGCAGAGATAGCAGAAGCGTGATCCAGAGCCGATGTGGCTTTTCCATGGAGGGAGGGGAGGAGGTGAAGGTCTGGCCGATGGCAGGATGTCGTGGGAAGTGGCCCGCGGCCGAGGAGCCTTTCCCGGGCTGGCCGAGCTGCCCAGAGCAGCCCCTGCAGAGGAACCCGCCCAAGGACATCCCAGGGCCCGGCCCTGCAGCCCCGACCTGCGGGGACAGGGAGGAGCCTGACCCGTGCCATGCTCTGGCTGTCCTGGCTCCCACCTCCTTCCCTGCTCAGCTGCAAGGCCAGATTCTGCAGTGTTACTCCTCAGCCTTGGGTTCTGTGCCATAATGGAATTCTCTGGGACTTTAGCAGCTTTCCTTTCCGCTTCAGAGACAAGGGGTCCTTTTCCCAACTGCTGAGCTGCAGGTGTTCCATAGGGAATAGTAACAGCAGCAGAGATTTCCAGGGGATCTGTTCTGGCTTTGTGTTGAGTCCTGCCAGGGAATCTTACCTTGTTTTAAATTCTGGTGGATTCTGTACATTAGCCCAAGTCACCCAAATTCACATTAACTCTGGCTCCCACTTGGCCCTGGGTTTCCAGGGCTCAGCTGACAAGAGGGGAGAAGCAAACACTTGGCTAAGAGACGCTGTAAAACTCAGTGTTCCTGAGATAATTAGTATGTTGGGAAAGTGACAGGAAAGAGAATCAAGCAAAGCCAAGGTCAGCGGCTGCTAATTAAGAATCAGCACCTTGTGTCAGCCTGAGCGGTGGCTTGGAATTGAAACGTACCCTGGGAGAGCCCCGGGAAGATAAAGGTGATAGAGTTACCCAGATAGCAGCTAACGGGATTTGAGCAGGGTTTAAAGTTTCATTCCAGCTTGGCTGATAAAAAGGGCAAAATGAGAGAAAATAGCAGAGGGAGGCACGTGCTTTGCTTCCAGGAGGGATTTTTGCCTCTGCAGCTGCCAGAGCGTTGCAGACGTAGCAGGATTTGAGGAAGGGCATCTTCTGGCTAAAGAAATAATGGAAGTGACATTTTTTTTTTTTCTTTTTAGCCCAAAGCCCCTCCTCTAGCTTTTTTGGAGGGTCTTGGGGGAAAGTCAAGGCAGTGTGCTGGTCCCAGTCAGTGTTGTGGGAAGGTGGGAGCCGTGGTGGTTGGTACTGCAGGGATGTCACCTCCCCTCCTCCTGTGCTCTTACACAGGGATGTAGCTGCCTGCCCCAGGGTTTGCCTTTGCCTGGGACAGGAGCACAGTGGTGGAGGGTCTGTGGATTAAATTATTTGGGTCTTCTGGGTTCAGGGAAACCTGTTTGTTGGGACCTTGATTACACTTTTAATTCAGAGATACCCATGTGAAAAATGAAACAGAGCAAGTTGCATCTGGTGCAAAGCTTCCATCCAGCCACTGGCAGGGAGTAGGACCTGATGTCCCCACTCCCCAGTGTGGGTTGGAACAGGCTGGACCATGGCAGCTCTGCTGTGCTGGGGGACATCAGGGACAGGACCTGGGGTGCTCCTGCTGCCCCTGCCAGGAACAGGCTGTAACTGTCAGGGGAAATGAAGAATTTCCTAGTGGAAGGTTATTACTAAGCAGATGCTGTTGTTTTAATGGAAGGAGTTTTAAGAAGGTGCCCTTGGCTGTGGAGCTGAATGGATGTGTGTGTGTGTCATCATTTCCCTGTCTCCCACATGGGAGGCAGTCAGAGGGTTAATGTGGGTGATTTACACGGTGCCAGTGGCCTCTCTCTATTGTCACTCAGGTGAGTGGTGACACCTCAGCACCTGGTGCAGCGAGGAGGAGGAGCCAGGCAGAGCTGCTCTGTCCATTAGCAGTGCAGAGAATACAGAGCACATGTATCAGCATTAGCAGGTGCCTGGCATTCCTCCTGGATCAGGCCTAGCTGCAGCACACTCAGATCAGCAGCATGCCCAGGAGCTCCTGACCCCCTGCTCAGTGGCTGGAGCAGACCCAGAGCTCACTCTAAAATGTTGTTTTTCCTCTAGAATTTGCAGTTGAGGCCAGACTGATGCAGGGGCAGCTGTCAGGGGCTGCTCCTGCTCACCCCTTCCCTTGCTGGGGCTTATCAGATCCCATGGCTTGGTCGTGTGCAAATCAGGCCAAGAATGTGCCCAAAACAGGCACTGTCAATGCTGTTTATCTCCATGAATAGGGAGGAAATGGGAAATGTGAGTATCTCAGTGCATATCTAAGGCTTGTGTCTCAGCCATTAACTGGGCACAACTCATGACATTGGAGCATGGCTCTGGTTTGCAGCCAGTGCAGTTGGACACCAAACACAGCCATGTTTAACAGGGGAGAAAAGGTTTTTCCCACAGAATGTGAAGCTGACACGAGAGCAGCACTGATGGAGCGGCAGATCTGGGATGGGATGGGTCATGTTGGGCTGCAAGAGCTGAGGCCCTCAGGGGTTTATTTCTCCTCGTCTGAGGAAGCTGGGGCAGGTGGCGAGGCAGGACTGCAGCACCTGCAGTCCCTTGGGTGCCTCACGAAGGTGGCACCTCTCGGGCTGGGGAGCTGCAGCTCTGTGGAACCAGTGTCAGTGCGTGGTCACCCACCATGGGCTTTGCTTTCCAGGATTTCTTGACTGACCTGATGATGTCTGAAGTTGATCGCTGTGGTGAGAATGAGCATCTCATTTTCAGGGAGAACACACTGGCCACCAAAGCAATCGAAGAATACCTGAAGCTGGTGGGGCAGAAATACTTACAAGATGCCTTAGGTACGTACAGAGCGTTGGCAGGTGTTGTCCAGAGTTCTCCAGGCTGCATGGTGGGGACATCTCCTGAGCCCTGATGGCCATCAGAGCCATCAGCATTTTCCTGCTGGAGGGTTTCCCTGGCAGGCTGGCCACGGCTGTGGCAGCGGTGGGCAGCTCCCTGCTGCCAGGTGAAGGTGACTGCAGGGCTGGGACCTTCATCTGCTTTCAGAGGAGATAACCAGTGGATGTTTGAAGGCATTCTGCTGCCTGCCAGGGCTCCTGTCTCAGCACTGGCTGTCACGGGCTGATTGAATCTCCCCCCTTGCAGCCCCACCAGAGATGCTGCCCAGCTCCTGCAGCGCTCCCGAGTCAGATGAGATCTCCCAAGTCGCAGTGATGCACTGCCTCCCGGAGCATCCCGCACTGGGAACCCTCCTGGTGGCTTTTTATTTCATGCGCTGGCTCTGTTTGTGGCTCCAAAAATACTTCTCTTGATGCAAATTAAAATAATCAGAAGTTTCTGCTTCTGGGCAGGTCAGGAAGGAATTGCTGCATGCAGGGAACACAGCACGAGGATGGGGAGAGGCTGCCTTGGAACCTCTATGAGCTTCCACTGGATCCACATTCCAGGGCAGGATGAGCAGAGTTTCTATTGAGGTGTTAATTTTTCAGTATGTTGGGTTCCTGCTAGTGGATTTGTATAATTTTAGCAAGGAGCAAAGAAGCATAAATACTTTATTAAGAGAATAATAATAATAATGAAAACCTTGAAGAAAGGGAAATAATTGAGCAAATTCAGTCAGAGAGCCCACAAGAATAACAAAAGGAATATTACTTATTTCTGCATTGTAATGCTTTCTGGTTGAAGGCAAATCTGTAAGTAGATTACTCATAAAAATTCTCAAAAGCCAGGAGATTAATGATATCAGAGAATTTTGAAATATTCCCTGTTGGGGGCTCAATGCTGCCAGGCCAGTTCCATCTCGTGCAGGAGGAGCCTGGGGTTCCTGCTCACAGGGGGGTGCTGGTTCTGAGTGACCTTTTCCCAGGGAGATGAATCACCTGTGTGTCACAAGATGCCCCAGGGCAGCATGGCACTGTCCTTGGAACCATGGAGCGGGTGATGGGGCCAAGAAAGAACAGCAGGCATCACCTGCAGGCGAGCAGAGCAGCTCCAGAGCTCCCTGGCAGAGCTGAAAATACACTGGAGAGGCTCTCCAGTATGTAATTAAAATTTGTTTTGGCAATAGGGAAGGAATGCAGATTGGAGTGGGGAAAAAACAGGATGGGAAAATCCAAGACAGTCGGAAATTAGGAGCAAACCATCTGGAATTAGAAGAAAACCAAAGCAAACCTTTCTCCCAGAATGCTGCCCAAGCTAAACGCTGCCTCCTCATCCACGTTACCCTGTCCCAGTCTCCCCAGTCACTGCTGGGATGTAGGACTGACCCCCAACCCTGAGTGCAGGGGCTGTACCCAGATACCCTGCAGTGAAAGGTGGCACAAGAGCAGAAGCTGGTGGAGCAGCTCAGTGTGAGCCTCTGCAAGGGTGAGGAGGAACAGCCAGGCAGCAAAGAGGAGCACAGGAAGACTCAAGGAAATATTGTCATTTCATTTTATGTGATGTTCAGCTCAAAATAAACCAAGTAAATTGTTTCTTTCCTTTAATTACCTATTTCTTCTGTGAATCACAGTGGTTTGTCAGCACCAGGGCACAGGCTGCAGTAGCAGGCCATCCTACCAATAATTACAGAGCCTGCCAGCATCCTTCCTCCTGGATTAGCCCGAGGAAGTGTTTCTGGAGCTGGTGCAGGGGGGTTAGGTGGGTGCTGGGCAGCGCTGCCCTGATGCAATATCCCAGAGCTACAGGGACAGTGCTGCCAGCTGGGAACAGGGGTGGAATGTGCAGGGTGCTGGGTGTGCTCCCAAGGAACCATCAGGAACTCTCCTGGGTCCTCTTGGAGACATGGAGAGTGGCCCCAGGGGCCACCACGTGCTCTTGTATCCCTCTTGTCTTCCCGCAGTGTGATGGGGTGCCAGGGAGCTGCTCGGCACTGGGGCTTAGGAATAGAGCTGCTTGAAGGCTGCACTTCTCAAGTCTCCAAACGCATCAGCAACTCTGTTTTACAGGGGAGTTCATCAAGGCACTGTATGAATCAGATGAAAATTGTGAGGTGGATCCCAGCAAATGTTCGTCTTCAGACCTCCCCGAACATCAGGGCAACCTGAAGATGTGCTGCGAGCTGGCCTTCTGCAAGATCATCAACTCCTACTGGTGGGTACCCCGGCAGTGGCGCTGCCTCCTCCTGCAGTGCCGTGGCTGCAGGAGCTGGGACCTGTCCATGGCTCTGGCAGAGCTGTGCAGGGGGAGCTGCCAGTTTGGAGTGTGTGCTCTGGGGATGGGGCACCCTCCCGCATTCTCTGGCACCCTTGTTTACAGTGGTGCTGAAGGGTCGCTGGGGCACAGGGACAGGGCAGTGGAGGCAAGGAAAGCCAAGTGTGATTGATTCAGAGAGGTGCTTGATGCCAAATGCATATGAAATTCTGGAATAAAGGGCAGAGATGCATGTCCTGGATCTTCCACCCACAGAACAAGTCAGTCTGTATGGGACTGACAGATCTACACCTCCAGGAACATCCGACGAAGCTCGGAAATCCTGCAGCAGGCACGGGCTGTGGCACCTGTGAGGAGCTGCCCCAGCACAGGCAGCTTTTGTTTGGGCAGATGTTCTGTGGTTGCAGAGTGCTGGAGCTGGGAGGAGGATGCTGTTCTCCCAGCTTGGCTCAGCATCCCACATTCCTCTGGATTAACCCCTCTCTCTCCCAGCCCTGGGCGGTTGCTGGCTGATGGGAGCCCTTTGCCTCCTTGGCCCAAGGCCTGGTATGCAGCTGGAGGCATTTCCGAGTTGTTTGTTCTCAGGGTAAAGGTTCTTGCAACTGGTTGGGACAGGCCTGAATATCCCAAATGGGCTGGTGCGAGGCACTAAATCCTGCTAGGAGGTGGTTGTTGGGCACAGCTGTGCTGGGAGCCAGCAGTCCCTGGGTCTGTGACAGCTACTGCTGGCAGAGGTGACCTCAAAGGGGAAAAAGATGGACTTGGGACTCTCTTTACTTGCAGAACTAAAAATATTTTCTTTCTGCTTTTTGCTAGCATACCCAGAGTCTTTGGTCCTGATCATGAGAGAAGGAGCATTTTTGTCTCACTGCTGGATTTCCAGCCTTTCTGCTTAAAATCTGGGCATAGTTTTTATTAATGTATTTTGTAACAACACTCTTGTTGCAGAGCATCAACAAGGGATAATATTGGTGTAATGAGGTCTTTGATAACAAGGATTTCTCATTTTCTTTCCTCTCCTAGCTGTTCTGCTGAGGTCAGAAAACCTATTATAAATAATCTCCCAAGATATTGAGTGTGCCCTCCTGGAAGCCAGGAAGAGAACAGACCCTGCTCAGGGGGAGAGCAGGGAGCTCTTAAGAGGCTTGCTCAGGCTGCCATTATTTACCACAGGTACACAAAGGGCAGGTGCTTTACAGGTATCCTGTTCCCTATCCTTGGCCAATTAATAACTGACTCAGGAATGGTGTTTGCCTGCTTTCCCAGGAGGGATTCACCACTTCTAGTCAGCAGTGGATCATAATGGTTTGAATTAATGTCTTCCTAAAAATACTCAAAGCAGCACTCAAAGGTCAGTCTAAAAATAGGCTTGAAAAGTGACCCAGGGAAAGTCAGGAATGCACAGGAAGTTTGTTCCTCTCATCCTGCCTTTCCAAGGAAGGCTGGAGCAGCTGAGCTGCTGCTCTGAGTGGTTCCCCCTGAGTCCTTTGAGCTCAGTCGTTCTTGGGTATTAATTGGACTGATGAGTGTTGGGATTGGCCAAGGTATCCCAACAGCCAATGATCCTGCTTTAAATAGAGCACTGGAGTGTGTGTGCTCATCTGTGCAGAGAGTCAGGGAGAGGAAAGAGGTTCACAATAACCGAAAATTGTTATAATTATGACATAATTTGGACATCTGGAAAGTTTCAGTGTAAGCAGAATTTCAGCATGTGGAAGCTCGTTACTGGGAAGTTGGGTAATGAATTACGGGCCCGTTTGTCACATAAAGCCAACGATCCGAATTCCATCCGCTGTGACACAATTAAACTTCCACGGGCTCCAGCCTGTGACGGGAACGTGCGGCTGCTGCATTTCAGGGCTTTGCTCTCCAGTCACTGCACAACCTGTCCTGATCATTCAAGCCTCAAATTGCTTAAAGGATTCTCCTGTTTCTGGGCAAATACCATGAAGTAAAAGGGTTTTGTCCAATTGTGTGGATCAAGCCAAAGACAGAGGAGAATTTATCCAGCCAAAGACGTTGGCTAATGTTATTTGTAGAGCTCGGGGTAAAAAAGCTCATGGAGGTCAAAGCATGAAGGCAGCGCAGAGCAGAAGCTGAACAGGATGGCAGCATTTTCCAGGCACTTCCATGGAGTGTCACTGCTGTGTCAGAAGGTCAGATGGCCTGAAATGGAGCCTGACCCCACTCAGTTGCTGTGGTACCCCTGCTATCGTGGAACAGCTCTGGGTGTGACACAAGGACGGTGGTTCCTGGCCAGGGCAATGGGATCTGTGTGCCAGGGACACCAGGACCAGTGGCCAGCCCAGTGCCAGCCTGCTTCTGAGTGGGAGTCTCCAGCTGAATAAATAACACATGCTGGGAACAGGATAAGGTGGGAGCAGGGAGCTGGGGAGGGCTGAGCAGGAACAGGCAGCAGTTCTCCAGCGATAAGGGCTGTTGCAGTGAGCGTCCGCTGGCCCCCAGGGAATTCTGGCATCCGGGAAAGGCAGGCTGAGGTCTGTGCAGCTACAAGGCTGGAGTAACTCCGGTGGGGCTCTGTGTTTGTACTAGGCACAGTGGGATTTGATCCAGGTGCTTGAACAGGAGTATTACAGTTTGCAGAGCCCCCCTGCAAGCTCCAGCTGTGCCAGAGATTCCAGTGATGCTGGTGATTCTTCAGGAGATGCTCTCCTTGCTGGCTAAGCTCCCAGCTCCGTCCAGCTCAGAGCACCCCATGGTACCACCACTGAGTCCTGAAGAGCTTCTGTACAGTTTGTTTTGTATCCCAGTCTTCCCAGTTTTCTGGGGTCTTGGCATCCAGCATAAGGTCCAATAAAAGCTGCTTCTCTCATAACTTTACAGAGCAGCTTTGCTTTTTCCCCTACATGGTGTGAGACTCCTGACACTCCAACCCTGACAGACACTACCTGTCCTTGTGTCATTTCAGTGTCTTCCCAAGAGAGCTCAAAGAGGTTTTTGCCTCGTGGAGACAGGAATGCAGCAACCGAGGCCGCCCCGACATCAGCGAGCGCCTGATCAGTGCCTCCCTGTTCCTGCGGTTCCTGTGCCCGGCCATCATGTCCCCGTCCCTGTTCAGCCTGCTCCAGGAGTACCCCGATGACCGCACCGCACGCACTTTGACCCTCATCGCCAAGGTCACCCAGAACCTCGCCAACTTTGCCAAGTAAGCCAGGCTGTGGGCAGGGCTGGGGAGGGGACAGAACCTCCGGGTGCGTGGGCAGAGCCACGGCGCCGGCACAGAGTCCCACACTTGGCCACTCCTTTCCTCGCTGGGAAGGGCCTGTTTGCTTCCTGTTGGCTTTTTCCCCACATCTTTCTGGGATTCGTTCCCTTGCTGTTGGGTCAGGGAGATCATTCAAGTTTCCAAAACAGGACATGTTTTATGAGCAGGAAAACAGGCTGTTTTGACCACATGGATGAGCAGTGGGGTGGCAGTGGGGACTTTCTCCTGTAATGTCCTGTGGGTGTAGGACCACAACCCAATCAGTAGCAGGGATGTGCTTGGCTCAGGAACTGTTCCATCCCTCCTTTGAGCTCTGGGACCTTCCCTGATATTAAAATGCAGCTGACTGAACTGGGAAGGCCTGAGAACAGAGACACCATCAATTTCTAACTAAGCCCATTGGTTTGATGGAAACAAAGCGAGAGATTTCTGAAAATCTTTCCACTGGCTGTAGCTCTGAGCTACTTATCCTGAGCTCTGATAACAAAATGATGAGCTTTCTGAAACATGAATGGACACTTTCTATCTAAAGCTCCTTAGATCTGGAAACTGGCTTAGCACTCACACTCACAGACAGCCACGCACTGACATGCCTGCGGACACCGGCAGGAGATGTACAAGTGTGTTACACTAGATGACAGAAATTCTCTGTATTCCTGACCAATCCCTAACTAAAGGGTTTTCAGCATATTTCTAGCACTTTGCAGGAAAGGCTCTTTAACTAAGCTGACATTAGTCAAGCTGAAGCGATCAAGCCAAGCTGTCCTGTGCATGCCACTGGGCTGAGCCTGGCCCATGGAACCCCTGGCAGAACACCAGCTGCTGCCAGGACAGTCCAACCATGAGGCCCTCCCTGCTGTGCTCTAGATGAGACAAAATACTGAGGGTGAAGAGCTTGGCAGGCAGAAGGAGGTGGCAGGAAGCATGAGGGGACGATGGGGCTAGCCCAGCTGCAGGGGTGGCTCTCCAAGGTGATCCCAGAGCAGTTGTGCTGGCTTTGCTGGAGAGCATAGGATTCCTGCCCCCATCCATCACTGGGCTCCAGTCAGCTGAGGGGGATTGCTGTGACAGCATCTCGATTTCCTGTGACAGGTCCCGTTTCTGGAGGCTGTGCCCTGACCCAGCAGTGAGACACTGGGTTACCAAGAACTCCTTTGTTTCTGCTTTCACCTTTGTTCCTGTTGTGCAGATCCCACACTGATGAGGGCTTAGCTGGATCAGGCTGGGGTTAATTTTGGTTCCACAGTCAGTGAGGTGTCCCAGGTGCCTGCTCACAGCCCAGGGATCCCAAAGGTTTGGAAGGGTTGAGATGCCAGAGGAAGGGTTTTAGCTGTGATGTACCTTCCCTTTCCATGGACTGCAGTTTTTTCCCCTGGATTTAGCTGAAATCCATGTTGCTCTCTCAATAGGTTTGGCAGCAAAGAGGAGTACATGTCCTTTATGAATCAGTTCCTGGAACATGAATGGACTAATATGCAGAGATTTCTCCTGGAGATTTCCAATCCCGAAACCATCTCAAACACAGCTGGCTTTGAGGGCTACATTGACCTGGGCCGGGAACTGTCCACATTGCACTCACTACTCTGGGAAGTCATTTCCCAACTGGAGCAGGTATCCAGGGGATGACAGGGACAGCCTTGGGGGCAGGAAATGATGGAGAAAATGTTGTTTGTGTGATTCTCTGAAGAGACTGTCCAACAATTGGCAAAGCCCACAGTTTGGTAGCAAAAAGCACAAGATGGTGGTGGTAATTCTTCTCTCTTTTCTGCCCAGGGCACTGCCACCAAACTGGGGCCTCTGCCCCGGATCCTGCGGGACGTCAACGCCGCCCTCAGTAACCCGGCCTGTGTGCAGGTGTCGGTCACGGCCGAGCACGCTGCCTCCACACCCAGTGCTGGCAACAGCATCTCCGCAGGGCTGCAGAAAATGGTCATAGAGAATGACTTATCTGGGTAAGAGACCAATGGGGCCTGGCCACACACCAGGGACACACGGAGTAGTCACGCAGGGACAGGCAGGACAGGTGCAGTGTGGAGTTGCCTGATCCACTGACTGGCCTGTCCCATTACAGAACTGGTGCTGGATGTAGTTCAGCACTAACTCTGGAGAGAGCAGTGGGTGGTAGTGCCAGTCTGTGGCTCCATCCTGGGCCCCTTGAGAGCCAAAACTGGTTTGGGAAATGAGGAATCTGGAGGTTCTGGTCTCAGGTGTTGAGATGTGGCTGCAGAAGCAAAGTGTTCATCCACTTGAGGGTCTGATAGTCTGACCTTGAGGTGATGGGTGGTGGTGTTAAGGGCTATGAGAGATGTACAGGATTGGCCTCACCCACCTTTGTACAAAATACGGTGTGTGCTGAATTCACTGATATGCAGACCTGGATAGTTCTGGAACTGTCCAAGCTGTAGAGGCCTCACAAGCAATTTCAGCCTACTCTGTCCAGGTTTTATAATACTGGGAGTTTTCACTGCTGAGCAGTGATTCACAGACACAGTCACCTACATACGTTTTGGCCTGATTAGGTAAGGAGCTTCATTCATGGGGAGAATGAGGCTTTTGCAGACCTCTAGTGTTTCTGCTTGTGGAAAATGAAATGGAGCCCACACAAACAGAAAGACTCTGCTAGTAAAATAGTTTGTAAGTGGAAACTGCATAATATTTAACAGTTTAATTAGGAATGAAAGGCAGCAATGGCACTGGACTTGCTCTAATCAGTTTTCATCTCTAGTGCCTCCCAGCATGACGTACAATTATTTAAATCCACTGCTATGGAGGATCTCTGACAATATGCTTCCCCCCCCAATACTTGCTTACAATGTACCATCTTTGATAGCAGAATATTCACATGAAGCTACTGGAAAGCTCTTTCTTTGTATCCCCAAGAAATCAATATTGCATGAATGTGCATTGCAGCAGGAGTGGGGGGATAACCTTCAGCTGCCAGGCTTTAGCTCTGCTGTGTGAATGTCTGGTGTTACCTGGCCCCCAGTGTTCTGTGCTGTCCAGATGCTGGCCAGCGTGCCCACAGGAGCTTGCTGCCCAGGTACAGAGCAGGGACACAGGACTGGCATGGAGACAGCCTTTGGAGCAGGAAGGGTGACACGCAGTGACCCAGAGCAGAGCAGCCCCCAGGAGCGTGTCCCTGAGCCCCGTGACAGCGCAGTGCCCTGTGTGCACACACTGCCCTCACTCACCTGCCCATTCCCAGGCCAGCCCGGGGCTCCACAGCACCCTCCCCACTCCTCACACTGCTCCCAGCTGGGCCAGGCCTGTCCCTGCTCCTGCTGGGTCTGGGTCCTGTCCCTGTCCCCATCCCTGTCCCACACAGCTGCGCCACCCTGATTTCTGAGTGATTTCGTTTTCCTGCTCTGGTGCAGCATTCACAACTCTTCTTTTTTGTTTTGTTTTCCTCTCCTCTTCTTACGCACTGACTTCCCCGCAGTCTGATAGATTTCACACGGTTACCATCTCCAACCCCTGAAAACAAGGACTTGTTTTTTGTCACAAGGTCTGCTGGGGCCCAGCCCTCGCCTGCCCGAAGCTCCAGTTACTCAGAGGCCAATGAGCCCGACGTGCAGATGTCTAATGGCAGCAAGAGTTTGTCCATGGTGGACTTGCAGGACAATCGGCTCTTGGACAGTGGGGCCAACGCGCCCGGCACAGCCGACTCGCTCAATGACAGTCAGTCGTCCCTGGGGCAGTTGCAGGGCGTATGGACCACACGGACTCAGCAGAACAGCGTGACGGCCATGGCCACCGTGCGCCGGGTGGGCCAGACCCCCACCACGCCGAGCGGCGAGGGCGCGCCCGGCCGGCCCCAGCTGCTGGCGCCGCTGTCCTTCCAGAACCCCGTGTACCAGATGGCTGCCGGGCTGCCGCTGTCCCCGCGGGGCCTGGGCGACTCCGGCTCCGAGTGCCACAGCTCGCTCAGCTCCCACAGCAACAGCGAGGAGCTGGCGGCCAACAAGCACGGCTTCGCCGGCCCCGCCGCCGCCGAGGACTTCTCGCGCCGGCCGGGGGAGCTGGCCCGGCGGCAGCTGTCGCTGACCGAGAAGGGCGGCCAGCCCACGATGCCGCGGCAGAACAGCGCGGGGCCGCAGCGGCGCATCGACCAGCCGCCGCCGCCGCCGCCGCCCGTCAGCCGCGGCCGCACGCCGCCCTCCCTGCTGAACACGGTGCAGTACCAGCGACCCTCCAGCGGCAGCATGATGTCCTCATCGCCCGACTGGCCCGGCAGCGGGGCGCGGCTCCGGCAGCAGTCCTCCTCCTCCAAGGGTGACAGCCCCGAGATGAAGCAGCGCACCATGCACAAACAGGTGAGTTTGGGCTGTCCAGGCCCTGGCAGTGAAGGGGCCAGGTGGGGATTGCTGTTAGCCTGTGGAGATTGCTGCCATGGAGGGGAGGTGGCTCCGAGCTGCCACATCAGTGCCAACCTCACAGTGGCATCGGATGTGGGGATGTACCTCAGCTCTGGCACTCCTGGCCTGAGACAGAGACCCTCCAGGGACAGGAACACAGAGCAGCGTCCATTCCTGGTGTCCCTCTGTTACGTGGCACGCTGAAGTGTGACGGCGGTAGGTGGCAGAGGCTCGAGGGCAGTGGCAGCCATGCTGCTGTCCTGCACTACCATCTTGTCACTGCTTTGCCTCTCCATGCCAGGCTCTCATCCCATGCCATAGCCAATGCCACGCCATCTCCCAGGCTTGGAACAGACCCTGATCTCCTAAGAGCCTGCCTGCTGCTGCTCCCATCCCAGCAGGTCTGTGGTGCTCCTGGACGTTCCTGTTTGCTCTGTGAGACCCTCCCGTAGGAGCAGGAAGGAGGGAGCCCAGAGCAACGTTCCTGCTGTGCAGAGCTCTGCAGTGATCCCAGTCCCAGACCACGTGCTGGGCTGCACAGAATTCCATTCCACTGTCCATGGAGGCAAAATGGAAGGCAGTAGGTCATAGGCGTAAGGCCCTCTGGGTGTCCTGGCATGGACAAATGGTTTTTATAGTACTCATTTATTCACTCTGCATTTCAAAACCAGCCCTACAGAACTTTATCTCAGTAAGACCTCTGTGCCTAAAGGAAGAGTTGAAAAACAAACACAGAGACTGGACACACAGCAAGAGCCCACTGCACCCAGGCCCTGAGTGAGCTCAGGCCTTTCTCCAGCCCTGTGTTGCTGTGTCTGCCTCTCTCACATGGCAGCTGTGGAGCCTGGTCAGTGCTGCCCACAGAAGGCTGTTCATGCTCCCATCCAGGGCTGCTCCGTGATTCCAGTATCGATCCGTAAGCACTGGCATTAGCAGTGCCGTGCAGCAGCCTTTGTGTAACACAATCAATGCTCATTAGGGACAGAGGGCACAGGGCTGTGCAAGGAGCAGAGGCCTGGTTGTAACAGGGTTTCTGCCAGAAAGGAAGGATTCTCCAGGTGGCCATCGGAATGCTCTGGCCAGGTTCTCTTCACAGAAGATTCCTCTACCCACCCCTGTGGTCCTCTCGAAGTTTCTCTTCAGACCTGAAGTCTCACAATGTCTCTCCAACCCTCACTCTGCACGTTTTATTTGCATGTCAGCAGCGTGAGGATTTGTAGCAAGCAATGCTCATGAGCCAAGTCTGATGTCTCCGATTCATAATTCTAGAGGTAGAAGACAAGACTGGAAGATGGCATGGGAAAGCCCCTGACCCCAGTGAGGCACTCCTTCTGACACAGAACCTCCTGTTCTGCTGCCTGACAGTGATTCGGTTTCTCTATCCAGAGGTTGGAACGAAGGAGAATGTTTCTGTCATTTCCAATTTGTTTACTTGAATTCCCAAGTCATTAACTTGAATGACCAAGTCATGCAGATCCCATGTGTTCATCTCTCTGTTTACTGCAGCTTATAACAAGGCAGGATGGGGGGGAAATAACTGAAGAGTGACTTCCTTGTAATATAGTTGGAAAATATTTAAGCAGTGCCACTGGCAGTCCCTGCCCAGGCCAGGACTGAAAGGCATCAGACCTGACTGTAGCTCACTGACCATGGAAAATCACTGCTAGTAAGCGACACCGAGCATTTAGACCTCTTCAACATCTTTAGTGTAGCCTCAGCTGAAAAGAAACGTTTCTTCTCCAAGAAGGCAACTGCACAGTCATAAGGAGCATTTCAGTTTTCAGATCTTGTTTTATGGAATCCATTGAATCAAAGATGGCTTATAAGAAGATGAAGACTTGAGAGAATTCTGCTCATGGAGTGAAAAAACCACATCCAGCCACTCTGCTCACCTGCAGCTCAGCATCTTCGCAGGTCATGTCCTTGTGAGGTGACAGGATCTGCTCAGACACCAGGGCCATGACTTTGAGCAGGTTCCATGCTTGATCCAAAATAACATCCAACTGCAGAACAGGAGTTGCTCCTGCTCCAGCCCCAGCTGCTCTGGTAAATCAGCCTGGCTCGTTGCTGCCTGAGCAGCATGGGAGAGGATCTGCTTGGAAGGAAACTCTCTCTCTCCAGCTTCATGACCATTTCTGTTACAGGTTTTTCTTTTGTCATGGTTGTATCATTGTTTCATTGTAGGCCCCTTCTCCTGTGAACCCCAATGCCCTGGACCGCACTGCTGCTTGGCTTTTGAATATGAACATGCAGTTTTTAGAAGATGAAAGCATTGACCCAGATTCCAAGCACAGGGATAAGCTCAGGAATAAGGACGAGCTCAGCCAAGCAGAAAAGGTAAAACCTGATTGGATTGAAACAAGTTTCTGAATAGAGAGAGGATTTCCTTGAATGTCATTCCCTGAGCACCCTGGGGAGAAGGTGGGCTGTGTGCAGGAGAGAGGGGCCAGGTTTCTCTGTGTCCTGCTCGGCCTCACAGGGAACTTGTGGGAAATGTTTGGGAGGTTTTCACACAGTCGGTGACTGGAATCACCTGATGAAAGCAAGTAAAGAAAGACAGGAGCCAGAAATCAAGTGCTGATGCTGCCCTGAAACAAACTCTGCAGCCAGCCAGTGCCTCTTACTCTCCCCATTCCAACTCACCCATCTGCTGGAAAGAAAGCTTAAAAAGGGGATTAAGCACACCTGTAACAGAGGTGGAGTAAGGCACAAGCAGCCTCATGCCTCACAACAGGGACAGAGCAGGAAGCAGCTTCCATGTCAAAAAGCTGTTCACAGACCTAAAAATTAAGTCCAAATTTTGGTCTCAGAGACAGCACGGGTGCGTGGGGTGACTTTGTGGCACTTTCACAAGCTTATGGCAGTGTCACACACATCAGAGCCTGGCCAGTCAGGCTGTGCCTGTGAAGCAGAGGGGTGCTGCTCCTTTCCTCTCCTTCCTGGAGTGGGAGAAGCTGGGAAGAGACAAAGTAGGTGTGGCTAGGATGAAAAAGAAGGATAAAAATGAGGATCCAACAGTCAGAAGCTGGGAAAATCCTATCTTTACTGATTGCTGCTTCTGCAAGGTTCTTTCTCAGCAGCCTGGCTCTGCCAGGATTGTGGCACTTGAGCATCGATAGCATTTTGGATGTTTCCTCAGTGTGCTTCTCTTCGAACACACCAGCACTGCAGACATCATCCTTCCCTAAGCCTGTCCTGTTTCCCAGCACAGACATGTCTCTGGTTTTGTTCTAATAGCATTCCTGTACTCATTCTGCTGTGCTATTTGGGGACTGTCACCTCTTAAACCCAAGGAAAATGCTGAGGGCAGGTATCGTAGGAGCCAGGAGGTGCAAGGCAGCAGCTCCCAGCTGCCCCAGGAAGATCAGGGCAGTTTTGTAGGTTCAGCCCATCCTGACTGGCCGCAGGGCAGGCAGTGGTGGGGTTACAAACCCCGATGGCATTGTAACATCCCAGTGCCTGCCCCAAGCCCAGCAGGAGCTCCAGCCCAGGCTGCCTCATTGCCATGCAGCATCTTCCTTACTGTGCTGTCCCATCAGTCACTGACATTCAAGAGCTCCATTAGCATAACCTCTCTCCCCATTACTGTAAGACTGGAATGGTAACTGAGAATGAGACAAGTGTTCTAGAGACAGGAGCGACTCCTTCGGGCTCTGAGGCCTCTCCTGCTCTCCTCTGAGCTCACTTACGCTGCTCCTATTTTAAGGCTAGGGTAGGTATTTAATCTTTCCTGTTCAAGCAACTCCCTGCTGTCTGACTTTAGTGCTACTGTGCAGCTGTACAGGCGCTTTGTTCCCTCATTGCTTCAGGTTCCATGTGTCGTTCCTGTGCTGCAGTAAGAGCTTTGCTAAAGGAAAACTGCCTTGCTCCAGTACTTTGGCAGTACAGGAAACCATCAGCTTCCTAAGTTTTCGATCCTTGGGAGCTGAAGTTATTTTTGCAGTGGAGTGCTGCAAAAATATTTGCAGTTATTTTTGAGCGGAGTGCTGGCCAGTCCCCAGCAGCAGCCTGGCTGCCCTCCCTTCTCCCTAGAGCTGGTCCAGAAGGACTCTCAGACCTGGGACATGACCCAGCCCATCATTGCAGTGCCTACCCAGGTATGATGGCCAAAGGGGAAAGGCCAAGTCAAGACACAACAAAGTGTGCTTCTCTCAGTTCATTAATAACACTTGTAGCTTTAACAGCCTTAATGATTCACATGGAAGCCTTTTTCCTGTATCTGACTTTAAAAGCAGCTTGCCACATTATCAGCTGCATGATAATTATTCTAAAGTTATTTCAGTTGAGATGCTTTTTTAAAAAAGCATATGTCCAAATATAATTTTTTGAAATTAAAGCAGTTTTCTTTTGCGCATACTCACTGGATTTTCCTTTAGCAAAGCAAGTTTATTGAATGCTGTGCTGCTGCAATAGCTGAACCCAGTTTTACCGAGTTCAAAAGCTCTTAATTTTTTAAATTGCTTTATGTGATTCTGCTGCTGATTTATAGCTTCACCCAAATGAACAGTACCACTGTGGGGTCTTGGCTTCATGCAGCAGCTCTTCTTGGCCTGAACCCTGGTTTGAGATGTGAGTTAAATGCTGGCCCCAAAAGGCAGGAGTGCTCCGTGCCCTGCTCAGCCAGCACGGTGCCCTCGGCTCGATGAAGGGTGCTGAGACAGCAGTGTCCTGCATTAGTCACTGCCCCTCGTGCTCGGCACCCAGCCTGCCCAAAGCCCCCCCGTTTATTGCTGCAGACTGAAGAGCTCCTGTGTGAACCCCAAATCCCACGGCTGCAGCCTCCCTGCCTGTGCGAGCCCCGCGCTGTCAGTGTGAGAAGCTGCCCGCCGCCTTTGCCACGGGCCTGCTCTAACCTGCATTTCCCCTGTGAAATGCCAGACTCTGCTAACAGCCACTCTCTGCACCTGCCAGCGACCTGCCCGCCCCGCGGACCCGGCTTCGCCCTTGGCGCCGCGGAGAAGAAGGAAGAGGAGGTGTCGGCGAGCGGGGTTGTCTGATACGGGTTTGCAGCTATAGTCTGATACCAGGAGAGGGGCGTGAGCGGGTTTGGGGGAAACCCTGGCAAGGGAAACCCTACGAGGTAACGTGCCACATGTGTTTTCTTCTGTGTCTGTCCCTGCACCTTCAGTACCAGCAGGACCTGGTGGTGCTGCAGGACAAGCTCCGCATCTCCAACAAGAAGCTGGAGGAATATGAGACTCGCTTCAAATGCCAGGAGGAGACCACCCAGAAGCTGGTGCTGGAGTACCAGGCCAGGCTGGAGGAGAGCGAGGAGCGACTCCGGAGGCAGCAGGAGGATAAGGAGATCCAGATGAAGGGCATCATCAGCAGGTACAGGGAGACGGGAGGGCTGGGGATGGCAGTAAGGCAGAGCAGCCTGGCTGGCATTAAAGCTCACCCATTCTCAGGACAATCAGGGTTCTTTGGAGATCTAGGCAGGTTTCACATACGGGTTTTCCCCTCCGTGTTACCTGGGACAAGGAAAACCCCAATGTTTTCTTGATGAACAAGGGCAGAACTTGAGGAGGGGAGAGCTTGGTGGCTCTGGCAGGCTTGTTCTCTTCGTATAGCTATGGCTCTCATCACCATCCCTTACCTGTAACTCTAAATCCCTTTCTCCCACCTAGTGGGAAGTGGTTTTACATTTGTCCAGGACTGTTTCAGTGCAGCTGGTTTCACCTAGTACTTTCAGTCAGCCCTCACCACTGGGTCAGCCTTCACTGTGCTGTCACTTCAACTTCGGGGCACTCTGCTAGAAGGAGCTCCAGGGAAGAGTAAGAGCCAAGAAAAAAGCTGGGTTGGTGGATAAGAGGAGGCAGAGTGTGAGGGTAATACCTGGATTTAGAAGAGCCCAGCCAATGTAATTTTTTCTTGTGTGCTTGGCTCCCAGACTGATGTCAGTTGAGGAGGAGTTAAAGAAGGACCACGCCGAGATGCAGGCTGCTGTGGATTCCAAGCAGAAGATTATTGATGCACAGGTGAGTGCCCAGTGCCAAAGGCTGCTTCAGTTTTCAGGGTGGGTTTGCCAACACACAGTCAGTCCTTCCTGCAGTAGTGCCAGCCCACCGTGAGACCATGTGGGTGAGTCAGCACCAAGCTGCAGGCAGGGCCAGGGCAGCTGCAGCAGGACACGGTGACTGTCACAGCTGTGTGCAGCCTTGGAGTGTGGCACAGAGAGGGATCGTGCCCACAGCTTAGTCAGTGAAAGGACCACATCCCTTGGAGCATTGCTTGGTGCTTCATGTCCCAGTAATACCTGGACACAAGGAACACACAGCCCACCCACAGCCAAGCCAACATGTTTTTTAAGCCTTTGGGCTGTGATTTGCAGGATTGGGAAGCTCAGTTACTGCAATCAATTACAGTGGAAGAGGAGCATCACATGATGGCTGCAAAACACTGTGCTTGGAAAATACAGCCCATAATCTTTTAGTTTGCCTAACAGGGACCACCATGTCCTCACCAACCAGGCCTCCCTACAGCTTGTGGCTTAGAAGTGATAGTATATTCTGGCCTTACACTTAACAACACCATTGATCACTACACAGGAGTAATTCATTGTATAGCTAATTAAAAAGGAGACACTGGTAAGTTTGTAAGAAAAACCCCAGCTTTTCTGGGGAGGAATTTGTTCAAAGCTGCTAAATTGTCCATCCTGTTCTGTTCCAAGCTCCAGCAGAGCCGAGCAGACCCAGGGTGTCCCTGAGGTGTCAGTGGTGGTACCTGCAGCCTCCCAGCAGCTCTGGGACCTCCTCCTGTTCCCTGCACCTGGTGGGGTACATATGAGGTGCTGGCCATGCCCCTGCAAGCTCTCTGCTCTTCTCTTTTGGTCACCTCAGGCTGTACACATGTTGGATGTGTTCATTGCTGGACTTTCAGAGTTACACACAAGCAGTTGCTGTGTCCCTGAGCTGATTCTGTTCCTCTCCTCGTGGCACTCACAGAAAGATGGTATTTGTTCAGTGTCATAAAGAACAGGAGTGGTAGAATCAGGCTGCAACATGGAAGCGCTTGCTCCCATCCTTACAATGCTGTAATCTGTGAGAGCTGCCATCAAAGACAGCCTGGGAGGCTACAAGTCATTTAAACTATTAATTTATACTAATTAAATACTGACAGGAATAACTACCTTGGGAGAGTTTGGGTTTAGAAAAGGAATCCTACCATCTTGTGTAACAGCTGAGTTAGAACAAACAGTACAGTGTATAACTGAATAATTAGAGCAACTCCATTTTCATCAGGATCCTAAAATAAATGTAGCTCACATTGCACAGGCAGGGGATATTTGTAGCCCTGCGGATTTCAAAAAGTGCTGTGTAGCACTTAAAAACCCCCACCTAAGAATGCCAGAGAGAAAGGTCCAAAAGGCCTTCGGGTCACTGTCTTGGGCTGACATCCCAGAGGGACAGGGCTCGTGCCTTTCCACTGACTGTGCCCTCTGCCCATTTGCTTGCAGGAGAAACGCATTGCCTCCCTGGATGCTGCCAACGCACGGCTAATGAGTGCCCTTACTCAGCTGAAAGAGAGGTACAGCATGCAGACACGTAATGGGATCTCCCCCACAAACCCAACTAAATTGCAGATTACAGAGAATGGAGAATTCAGAAACAGCAGTAATTGTTAACGCGCGGAGGGCGCTGCCGCAGGAGAGGCCTGGCCGGAGGGACCGTGCACAGCGGGCGTGAGCCGCGGCTTCAGAGAACGGCTGCTCCCCGAGCACCAGCTCCTTACTGCGGACGGCGCCGACTGACCCTGCTGGGAGATGTCCTGCCAGCACTTTGAGGGACGGGAATGTCGAGTGTGAGATGAGTGGCATAAGGAAATAACATATATCTGAGAATCGCTGTCACTGTTGGATTTGAGTCAGTGTTTAATGTTTAAACAAAAGTAACCTTTTCCTTCTAAACTGCCCAAAGGATATGCCTCACCCCTCCCAGCAAGGAGTAACGTCCTTGTCATTGCAGTAAGCGAAATAAAGGGAGCTGGGCAGAGCCTGCAGCAGGCAGGGGCCCAGAAAGTCCAGATCAAGTGTGCGGCTGGATGTAGCGTCCGAGGGACGGCAGGAAAGCCTGGCCCGCTCCTCCTGTGACTCCCCCCGGAGCACAGCCCTCCCAAAGTGAACCCCAGCTGAGCCCAGCATCCTTCCTGGGGGCTTTTGTGAGGCTGCTGACTTTTACAGCATCCACAGGGCATTTATGCAGCTAATTAGTGTTTAATTAACTCTGCCCATACAGGGAGCACAGTGCAGATGGAAGGTCAGGGCGGTGTGGTGGCCAAAGGGGTGCTGTGTGGGGAGCCCTGCTGGCAGTGGGGCAGGCCTGGTGCTCCTGGGGGTCCCTGGGCAGCCTAGGGGCACAGAGAAAGGCCAAGGTTCTGGCACGGGAGTGGAGGGAAGAGCTGGCACCTGGTGAATGGCAACTTCTGGACAGCTTCTGCTCTCTCACAAATAAAGGGGAAGAGTTTTGTAAGCAATAGCCCCAGGCACTGTCCCACGCACACTTCCTGCCACAGAATAAAGTGAATGTTGCCTGAGCTTGGTCCCTGAGCTGTGATTGAGGGATAGGGGCTGGATTTGCTGGTGCCTGTTGTGGTAGAGGGGGAGCGAGGGGGCTACGTGGAGTGGCAGCTTCCTGCTTGATCAAGGGTTCTTTGTGGGGATGGAATGCTCTGAGAGTTTTACTATTTCTGGGGAGAAAAACAGACAAAGAAACAAGAAAAAGCCCTGAAGAACCATGAAGATCGGTAATTGTATTTCTTTTCTTTCACAGTATGCATTAGAAAAAAAAAGATCCCATTTTCTGGAATACTGTCCTCTTTAAATTGGGAATGAGCACTGCATGGAAATTAACCGGCTTGAAGAATGTAAAACATGGTCATAAGGGAGTAACCACCAAGAACAGCAGCCACCACCGAAAGGCCCCTTGTCAGGAGCACTGTGCAGGCATAAGCCAGGATTAGACTTTCCCAGCGCCCAAACGCGCAGCTTCGGCACAGACACGTTGTGCTCAGCGGAGGGGGCGCCCCTTCACGGGGGTCGTGCCGCTGACCTGCCGCCACGGTGTGTTTGTGGGTTTGTGGTTCTTGCAGTTAGTCCTTCACAAGTCCCACTCTCAGAGCAGGTCCCTCGTACCGAGAGCCAGAGGTTTCTCTGAGATACGGACAGTGTACAGTGTACAGGACATCTGCCTATGCTCCCTCTAAAGGTTAACACTGCTCAACGCCTGTCCTAGCTCCTCCTGCCATGTGTAAACGTACAGCCCAAGGGACTAGGACGCTCCCTGAGCTCTGCTCTGCTTAGGTACCGTCTCCAGCCTCACACTTCCCAGGCTGCCTGAGCAGGACACTTTGCCAGTAAGCTCTGCATTGCCGTGCTGCCCCGCAGCCGTAAGGCTCCTTAACAGCATTCTTCCTCATGCAATCGTTTGCAAAATTAAAGATGCTCTTTTTCCTACACGTTTTTCTGGTCCCCGGAAGCCCTGGGCCAAGCCCAGGAGGAGCGAACGTGTTGCACTGAGGTCTCCACACCCCGCCAACACCTGCCGAGGGGTGCAGCACACAGCAGACCCCAAACGGAGCTCCTCAGAGCAATGTCATAACTCAGTACTTATGGCAAATACCTTTGAATTTTGGAGACTAGCACAGATGGCTTTGAAGAACCTCACAAATCTGACAAGGTTACAACTGGAGAAAGACCCAGACAGGTTAGGAATATACAGGGTACTGTGAACCGTTGGGTACGTAGATTTACACCTGCCAATGTCTCAGAGTCAAATACATAAGAACCCTGCAAAAAAGACTATTTTAAATGCTTTTGCCCTAAGATGCCTGTTTAGAGCTGATTGTTTTGAATTCTAAGTATTTGTGTTGCGAGAGACTGGAGTTTTTCAAGACAGAAGTGACATAGAGGAATGGAAACGCTAACAGGGCATGGGGCGGGTGCCCCACCAGCAACGTTTCCATTCATACATGGAAGTAATTTTGGGATACAGTCAGTGCTCTCCGTAAGAGCTGGAAAAAGAAACACCCACAAACCAATTGTTTAGTGCTGAAGCTAAGCACAGTACATCTTAATCTTCTCCTCAACCACAAGCCAAGGCACTGTTCCCCCCCAACCCAAATCTGTCAAAAACTCCTGGTTACCCTCAAACTTGCAAATTATTGAACACATTGTTCTGCTGAAATAGCAGGAATGCTTAAATCCTTCCACAGCCAGTTATTCAATTCTTAAAAGTTCCAGTGCCAACACCTTCTGAGTTGATGCTTAGTTTCTCGAGACAGTACGAAAAGAAATTTAAATCAGGATGAAGTCTCATTACATAGAGATTCTCCCCCTTGTTTTTCCCTGTTTCCTTTTCCTGCAACTGTCAACAACTGGACCTAGCCATGACCCTCCCCTAAAAAGGTCTGAGGGCAGGTGTTCAGGCCCAGGCTCTGTTCTGTTCCTTCAGTTTGTGTTTCTGTTATTTATAAGCTGTACATGTCTCTGTGTGTGTGCGTGTGTGTGTGAGTGCAGGAGCCCCGCGTGTTCCCTGCCATGGCCTCGGAGCTGGTACCTGGCATAGCAATACCTGGATCCCGAGAGGTGCTGCAGCACCAGAGCAAACCACCACTGTCCCCAAGGGTTTGGTGATCAGCTCCACTTCCTTCCTGGTTCTTGCGCTTTCTACAGTAAGAGGCTGTTCTAGTGCAAACTCGTCAAAGTGTAAACAAAGCAAAAACACTCCAATTTTTATCTTAATACAAGTCTTAATATTTTTTTGTAAATGTTCTCAGTGTTTACTGTACCGTATCTATCTCACTAACAGTTGTATATAGTAACTTACTTCTGGTGCTGCTTATTCAGTCGGGATTTGGCTGTATCTCACTGCTGTGTTGGAGAGGTGGGCTCGGGCTGCCAAATCTGGATCTGGACGCATCTTCTGATTCCAGCCTCCTCCCTTGGGGATCTGAGGGAAGGGAGCAAAGCCATGGATCCAGATTTGTGGTGGGCCCACCTCAAAGATTCTGTTTTTAGAGTTTTGATTTGGGGTTTTGTTAAACTGTAGTGAACGCTCCTGAAAAAAGGAGCGGTTTTGTGTGAAGGGGGATGAAACAGACTGACCGGTATCCCAAGGTCTCTGCAGACTGTACGTATCATCATTTTGGACAGGGATTATGGCTTCAGTGCCAAAAGATGGGAGGGACCCCAGTCCTTCCCCATGCCAACAATACTACAGTCACCAGCCCCTTTTGCACCAGTTTAAGCAAATCCTGCCGCCATCCAAAGAGTCTGGTGTCACTTTGCATTGTCATCTGAGTCTGGTTGGTTTTGTTTTCTGCTTTTGCAGCTGTAAAGCACTGATTGCACTGTGAGAACACGTGGAACCCTCTGGTCTGGGAGCCAGTCCCAGAGGTTGCTGCAAGGTTGCAGGACACAGGTTCTGCTACTATGAATACTCCTAAAGGGCAAAGGGACTTGCTGGACCTCAGTGAGGTGTCACAGGCTCTCCTAGAAAAGCAATCAGCAAGGAATCAATCATTCCCAAAGTTTGGATAGTTCATAAGCTTTTTCCTGTTCCAAAGGTCCACACCCAGATGCACTAGAAAATGTTAATGGGCTGTGGGCCAGGGGTCTAATCTGAAAGGGGCTCATTTCCCCCAGCGATCCCAGGGCAGAGGGAGCAGCCCTGGGCTGAGGCCTGTGACCAGTGGGTCCAGCAGCTCCACCACAGTCCCTGCCCTGTCCTTCACACAGCTTTACCTGGACAGTGCAAAGAAAAAGTCCAAAGGGAACACCTGTGACACCATTCCTAGGTGGACAGTCCGTCCTTCCCACCTGCAATGACTGCTGGGGTCACCTCCTCCCAAAGGTTTGCGTTCAAAGCAATCCAGGCCTCCAGGCTGGCCAGGACCGGGACCTGGTGTGGGGCAGAGCCACGGCCTGACAGCCACCAGGAGCTCCCTTCAGTGGTCACAGGAAGGGACACTCCCTGCCCACGCAGGTCTCTGAGCCTCAGGGCCGTTCCAGAGGAGATTGCTCAGCCAGGAGGCTCAGACAGTGGCACCCGCCCTGCTCTGACCCCGCACAGACTTTGCTGCCTTTTCCTTCTCCCCTGGAGAAAATCATCCGTGGGGGAGCGTGAGGACAAGAGCAGCAGGAGAATGTGCAGTTCATGGGCTTTCCAAACCAAATCCAATCCTGAGGGTGTTGCACAACACCCAGAAACAACCATGCTTCTGAAAAGGGTGTCACATTTAAGCATTGACTTTCACAGATCACCTGAGCTGTGACATTGCTGTAAATGCCATGTGGCTCTGCATCAGCTACCAGTACCCCAGAGTGCAGCCTCCATGTTCACATATTCCTTTATCATACATCACTGTGTCTTAAGATATACCTCTCTCTGTATATCTGCTTAGGCTGATACTTGTTCCTGATAAGCAGTCGCTATGTTTTATATCCTCTTATAAAGAAAAACAAATCTTTTTTTTGTAAGTATGTTTAAAAAAAAATGCAAAGTGGAAGTGTTTGCTGAAACTCCTTCAGCTCCTTTTAAACTATGTAATAATGTACAGAGAAAGTTGTTGGTGTTCAAAGAAATGATGTGGCTGTGCAATTTATGTACATTTGCAATTAGAAATATTAAAGATTTATTTAGATATTTTACATAAGTGCTCCAGCACCTCTACTCAGTCATTTCCAGCTTTTAGAGCATCCTGGCACATGCCACATGCACACACAGACCTATCTTATCTGCCTCCCCAGAGATACCATTGAAATTTGCTCCCAGTAGAATTTTAACCCTGACCTGGCTCCACCACTTTCCCTTCATACACTCAGGGGGTCTGACAGCCAGGCCTGCTCCTGCCCCTGCCCCCACCAGTCCTTACAAACCACCTTTCTACCTCCAGTAAAAGTAGCAGAAAACTTGGAGGAAAGTCATTAAAACCCTGGGCAGCATCAGCACCTCTGCTTCATTAACATAATCATAATTAGATCCACCGGGAGAGGTGGAAGACAGGCTGGCTGCATCGAAATGAGTCGGGATGTGGAGAGCACCTGTGGCTATTCCTGCACTCGGCAGCGCTGGAGCCGGGCTGGGCACTGGGCTCCGCCCGGCTGGGACAACGCTCCTCCTGTTCCTGTCAGAAACCGGCCCCTGCCCAGGGAGGGAAGCCAAAACCCACCCAGGCCAAAATCCTCTCTCAGGGCTCTGCCATCCCTCAGCACTGTTGATTTTGAAGGCTAATAGAAAAAAAAAATCAGCCCTGGAAACACAGACCACCTATGAAAATGCTGCAAGGAGGGATTAGTCAAAACCACCTTGACTTGAATAAAACCTCCTTAGCGGCTGTTCGGCTTCATTAGAGCAGAGCTGAATTCTCAGCCGAAAGCACCCAGAATGTCTCTGTGCTCTTGACAGCTCTCAGCATCTGCGGCTCCACAGCCCGGCTGCAGCCGCTCCCAGTGGGCCCTGGCAGACGGGCAGGGCTGGGAGAAGTGAGACTCAGAATTGCAGATCAGCAGCCAGAACAGCCACGGGAATATGGGCCTGGGAGGCTGGGGAGTGCAAATGTGTTTGCTTGGGGTTTTTAATCTGGAGAGTCATTTTGGCACAAGACTCATCAGCAATAATGATGTTCCAGTAATTGCACCCTTACAAGTACAGGGTTTGTTCTGAGTTCAGTAAGTGAGAATCACTGGCCCGTGAGCTGCTCCTGGTGCCAGGCAGCACTCTCCAGCACAGCCCAGTAAGCATCTCAGGCAAGGCTGAGATGGTGTCAGCTGTGGTCCCACTCCATTGTCCCAGCAAAGCCTGGCAGCAACTGGCAGCTTGGAGATGTCAGAACCGGGCATCTTCAAATGCAAGAATCTTACCCACCACAGCTGGGGACAAAGCAGCAGGCAGAACAGTGGCCACTGACAACTGAGGAAGTGACAGCATTAAGCCAATACTTGCCAAGCTGTGGCTGTAAGAGCACAGAAGAGCCTGTTTGTTTTTTTCAGTGGGAGGAAGGCAGGGAGATGCAGAGATGAGGCTCATACCTAGAGAGGGAAGGACAGGAACAGCTTGTGTTGGCTCCTCCAATAACAGCCTCTAGTGTGCTCCTCATAAGCATCTTTCCCTCACAGCTTCCCAAGCCCTTCACAAGCAGTCAGCTCCCACTCCACTGCTAATAGTGGGCGAACATCAGCATCCTTATTTTTATAACAGGGATGTGCAGTAGGAGCACAACTTTCCCAAGGCCTCCAAAAGCCAAACAGCTGATTTTCCTTCCGCCCCCACCACCTTCTGCATGCAGCCATCCCATCCCACACACAGCAGCCCAGACTCCTGAGCAAACATCCTCTGGAGAAGTAATTCAAAGCCAGGCAGTAAACAAACCTCCAAAGCCTTGGCCCCAGAGATGGGAGTGCAGCCGCTCCCTGCCAGAGAGTCAATAACGACAGGCGAGCAGAAAGGAAGGAGCTGGAAGAACAAGAGTCATTAGTGGAAACTTGTTGTTTGTGCTAATTAGATCATTATCTGGAAACTGCTATTGATGTTGCTATTTTAGCTCCTGCTGCTGTTCACAACTTTATTTTATCCATGTCTATTGACTGCCCACACTCGTCTGTATCCTGCAGAAAGGGCCGGTGGTGCTGCCCACGCCAGGCCAGGATGGAGATGGTTTGTGTCCCGTGCCAGGCAGCACCTCCTTCCCCACCGTCACCTCAGCACCTGCAAGTGTCCTGAGATACTCAGGAAAAATGTTTCCCTGCTTGTCACAATGTGCCCTGTGCTGTTATTGATCTAAGACAGACAGTGGATCATGTTACTTGGTTATCAAGTAAGGTGAGAGGAAGACAGAGAAGGACTTGGACACATGTAGGATTTCTGCCATTTCCCATCTGACAGCCAGCACAACCCCTCAACACATAAATAATATTGATGCAGGCCCCGTCCATGATCACATTTCCCCATTGGTGGTATAAGCCATAATTTAATAACCTCAACCATTTGATTTTTGTGCTACATCATCAAGGAGTGAAGCCTGAATAACAGAGCTCTCAAGTTGATTGACTTTGATTTATTAGCGTCACTATTCTTCCTCCTGAAAGCCACAGTACCTCCTCACCCCCTGAGTGAGGAGAGCTGTGTGCTGGGGGACCCTAGCTGATGGGAGGACAAACATGAGGCTCAAGACTCAGCAAACCACACATCAGGGAGCTGGGTTTGCCTCCAAAACTCGCATTCTCCCTTTCTCCTGCTTGTTCACCAATGTATCTGAACCTGACCTGCAGAAGGGCTTTTGTATTTCCACTGATGAGGCAAAGGAAGAGGGGAAATTGCATCACATCACCATAACAGGCTTTCAATTTTTTACTGCAATTTCATACCACTTTCACACTACACCTGCAATAAATTCAGCAATGACACAACTTAACTTAATTCTGCCATCAGAACCGCAAAAAATATTTGTCTCCCACAGCGGCAGTTGAGGCAGAGGGCAGGGGGCATGGTGTGGGGACACTGCCCCCTTCCCAGGCCATTCCTGAGCACACGGATGTGCCACATGCCCCCTGGCACTCAGGTTGGTGGCAAGAGGCAGGCAGAGCACTGTGCCCTCCTGCCTCCCTTGCTGCGCTCAGCCAGGAGTGCTCATTCCTGCTCCCTAACACTTGCTGCATCTGGGACAGCGGAGGGGAACGGGAACACCGGGAAACGTGAGCACCTGGCGGAGGTGTGAAGCCAGGCTGCCTTCAGCCATCCTGCCAGCGCTCCCTCGCTGTGCTCTCCTTAACACACTGCCACACCCGCCAGCACTGCACTGCGAACAGAAACGCGCTCAAATAAATCACCTCCAAGTTAAAAGCAGCCATTAGCTATTAGCAAACACCGCAGGCCTGTGGGCCAGGGTAATTCAATGTGATATGCTTGGGCATGCAAGGTAATAGGTTGCAGCTGAATACCATGTGATATAATCTCTTCAATGGGAGGTTAAATGAGGCTGAGACAGAGACCAGATGGATTTATCTGGGTAGCGCTGATGATTTTTTGTGTGTGTGCTTAAGGTGAAGTGAAGGTAAGTAAGGCAGAAATAATCGGAGAAAAGCATGAGCTGGGCTGCGTGCAGTGGGGAAGGGATAGCGGGAGCTCGGGACCACATCCTGCTGGAACAAACCAAGCGAGCCGGAGGATGCTCTCAAGGCAGTACAGATGGAAACAGTCAGAGAAAAATAAATACTTTATCAATTTCCCCTTACGGAGGAACAACCAGAGGGCAGAGCGAGACAAGTCAAGCGTAGATGGGCAGATGTAGACACCTCAGTGTTATTTCAGCAGGAATTTGGAGCCCGAACACCACCTCTCATCCACCCAGGCCATCTGCAGCAGGCAAAGGGGCAGACCCAGTGTGCTCTCTCAGGCTGAGGTGTGGCAGCAATGCCTGTCAGCGTAGCCAAAAGAGGGACAGCTCCATGAGTAGAAGAAAATCAAGTGCTCAGCTTCTGCTTGGAGCACTTTGCTCTTGCTCTGGAAACGCCGGGCTCTGCCCGCCCCCGCCATCCTCCCGGGGACATACCCACGGTTCTGCTCCGTGAAAGCCAAGGGCATCCCAAGCACCGGACCCCATGCCGTCCCCGCACAAGGGCTGAGCAGAGCGGGGCTGCCCGGCCCTCACCTTCCGGCAGCCCCAGCACAGCCTCTGGGGACTCCCACATAACGTAGTGCAGGAGCCGCGCCCCGCTCGCCCCAAAATCCCCGCCTGACCGAGCACCCAGCACAAGGACGAGCGCACCTACCCCGCCAGGCTCGGGCTGCAGCGGGACGCGATCTCCCCTCATGGCCAGGTCCGAACCCCTCACCGCCCCTCCTGAGGGCACAGCCCGTGCCCGGGAGCGCCCCGCCCTGCGCTGAGGGCACCCGCCGGGCACAGCCGGGCTCGGGCTCCCAGCTGCTCATTAACTCTCTAATTAGCGAGCACCTGCCCGCCCTTCCCCTGCAGGTGTGCGGCAACCCTCGGGATCGCGGTGGGGCCTGTGCAGTGCCCCCGAACGTTCGGCAGGGACGCGTGGGACAGGACAAGGAGTGTCCGAAGCCCAGGGCAGATTTTAGGGGATTTACCTGTAGGGACCTGTGGGACAGGACAAGGAGTGTCCGGAGCCCAGGGCAGATTTTAGGGGATTTACCT